TAATTACACAAGTTCAAGTAAGTGATATGAAATATTGAATATGTTATGTACATGTATCACCAGATTTCACTTATTTGAATTGGTGATATCATCAATACCTAATGAATAGGTTCTCTTCATCTTTAATTGCTGCCACGGAAAAAAAAAACCTTCTATAGTACATTATGCGCATGTAATTGTATTCAAATTTGAGAAAGTTTTTCGTCCCCCGCATTCGCGAAAGAGAGGGGAAATTAAATCTTATCTTAAATTGTCTGCCATTCTGTTCGTCTGTCACAAAAACTTTAACCTTGGTAACAAATTGTGAATGTATAAAAAAGGGCTTTTATATTTCACATGTACATTATCTGTCATAAGACCTTTCCAGATACTAGTATTCTATGCTTTTTGACCCCTTGACATTGCCTTTGAAGTTTGACCCACTTTTCAAAATTTTTAACATTACTTTTACCTTGGTCATAACTTTTGAATAAAAAGAGATATGGCTTGCATATTTCACATGTGCATTACCTGTGACAAGACCTTTCATAGTGCTATTTGATTTTCAACCCGTGACCTTTACTTTGAAGTTTGACCTACTTTTCAAAAATTTTAAGATTGGTTGTAACTTTTGTATGAGAAAAGATAATGCATTTATATTTCACATGTGAATTACCTGTGACGTTTCCGAACATGCTATGATTTTTGCCTCTGAAGTTTGACCTAATTTTTAAAAAAAATATTGACATTAGTGATAACTTTTAAATAAGAGAAGATAGGGCCTTCAGATTTAAGTGCATAACCTGTGACAAGAAGTTTCCGAATGTACTGTGATTTTTAACCTCATGACCTTGACCTTAAAGTTTGACCTTATTTAAAAAAAGAATTAACATTGCTGCATGATAAGCATGATAACTTTAAAATTTTAGAAGATAAGGCATTATGATTGACCTCTATGAATGTTCCTGGCTTATGACCTCGTGATCTTGACCTTAAATTTAAAGCCACAGTCCTTTTCATTTTTTTACACTGGTAATAACTTTTGAATGAGGGAAGATGGGGCTTTGATATTTTACATTTCATGACCTTGGCCTAGACGTCCGAAGGTCACACAAACAAAACAGTTACAATATACCATAAATATTTGCATTCTTACCACTAAGACGCCGAAAGCATAGGGACCACAATTCTTTGAAACTGCTCGTTTTCCTCAGAAACTGAAAGAAAATGACTTTAGGCTGATGACATTTCTACTGCTTATTAATGATAACCGATTACATTTTGCTTCCGAAGAGAGAAGACAAATTATATATTGTGTTGGCAACTTTTTCACCAAGAAAGCGGTTTTCAATTCAAATATTCTATATATTCTATGCAAAACTTTGATCCCCTATTGTGACCGAACCCTACCCTCGGGGACCAGGAATTGAACAGTTTAGAATTTACACTACCCCAGGAAGCTTTCACATAAGTTTCATCTTATCTATGTTAAACGTTGCAATACTCGATCTTTTCCATTTGTATTCTATAATTTTCCATTTGAATTGTAACATTTTCCATTTGTATTCTACAATTTTCCATTTGTATTCTATAATTTTCCATTTGTATTATACAATTTCTCATTTGTATTGTATACTTTTCCATTTGTATTCAATATTTTTTTCCATTTGTATTCTATAAATTTCCATTTGTATTGCATAATTTTACAAATGGAAAAGTATACAATACTAATGAAAAATTATACAACACAAATGGAAAATTATACATTATATATATTGTATACTTTTCCATTTGTATTGTAAAAAGTATACAATACAAAGGAAAAATTATAGATTGCAAATGGAAAATTTTACAATACAAATGGAAAATTTTACAATACAAATGGAAAATTATATAATACAATTGGAAAAGATCGAATATTACAATTTTTTACATGCCATACTTATCTGGTCCAGTGGTTCTTGAAAAGATTTTTCTTGTATAATTTCATCCCCCAATGTAGCCCTAACTTAACCCTTGGGGTCATTGTTTGAACAGTTTAGAATCTTTACTACCTCAAAAAAAGCTTATGTAAAAGTTTCACCTTTTCTGGCCCAGTGGTTCTTGAGAAGAAGAGTTTTAAAGATTTTTCTTCTAAATTTCAATTTCTAAATTTTATTCCCTATTGTAGCCCCCACTCTACCCCAGGAGCCATGATTTGAACAACTTATAATCTACATAATGTGTGGAGGCTTTCAAATAAGTTTCATCATGTCTAGTCCAGTGGTTCTTGAAAAGAAAAAGATTTTTCCTATACATTTCAATGTAAAACTTTGATTTCCTATTGTGGTCCAACCCTACCAAGGAATCCATGATTTGAACAATTTAGAATCTACTTAGTGTCTGGAAGCTTTCATATCATTTGTAGTCCAGTGGTTCTTGAAAAGATGATTTTTAAAGATTTTCCTCGTATCCTTGAATTTAAAACTTTCATTTCTGTTGTTGGCCATTCTTAAAGCCGGTGTCATGATTTGAACAATTTAGCATCTACACTAACTCTGTGAAATATATGGAGATAACGAACAGTATATAATCAAGCTCAAAAGTCCATTGAGGCAATATAAATCGGAAGCAGAGCAAACACGGACCTCTAAAAAACACCAGAGGTGGGATCAGATGCCATGGAAGAGTAAACATCCCCTGTCAACCGCTCACACCCGCCGTGTGCTTATTGTTAGGATCGGGAAAACGCAGACAATGCATTGATTAAATAATGCTCAACAATTAGTATTTTAAAAAAGTATCAATCAGCATTCGACTTAATGATAGATTGTATTTGGTGACAAGGTCATTGTATCGACCATAGAACTTGCAAACTATGACTTTAAACGAGACTGTTGACATCCTTGTGTCATAAACTTGTTTGTCAATAGCTTGCCTCTTTTTAGAAATTGTACAAGGAGCATGCTTTGCGTATCGAATAAACTGGGAGATAAAAACGACATATGCAGGTGATAAGGTTATTTTGCTACAATTAAGATAAGTAAGGTAAGTTGAAGATAGAAAAGTTGAAGTCATCACGTTTATCGTACAGTTTTGTTATTAGGTAACCGTTAACGTCTTTTTCTAGTAAAATATTCAAATATGAAACAGATGTGACAGACTCTGTGGTATCTTTTATGTCAAGTTCACTGGGATATATCGAGTGGACATATATGAATGGAAATAACTATTGTTAATTGTTAATTAAAAATACGTCGTCGATATATCTAAAGGCCACAGCAAGTGTCTTCGTCTTCTCATGTATAAGTTTTTTTTTAATAAATTCTGCTTCATATGAATACATAAATAGGTCTGCTAATAAGGGGGTAATTGGGACCTATGGGAATTCCGACAGATTGTTGGAAGACTTGATCTCCAAAAAAGCTTCCACATAAGTTTCACTATTTTTATTGTCCAGTGATACTTGAGAAGAAGTCGAAAAAGTGAAAAGTTAACCAACGAACGAACGCCGGTCAACGGGTGATAAATTAGCAAACCATTTTGGGGGGGGGGGGTGTTGATAAACTATGTTTATCAATTGTGAACTATAGTTTACGAAGCATATACCATAGTTAACGATTTGTTTTCATCTATAAGACTTAACAGTTGCCGATTCCAAGCCTAGCTTATTTGCCTGTGAATAAACGTAAATTACAATTGTTTGTTGATATCAACTATACATTCTTTCTAGTAAACTAGAATGTACATTAGTTACACATAATCACTAATCGCAAAACTATATTTATCATTATTTAAATAAAAGTATAGAGTTTTTAACCAAAGCTTACTAGTCATGACACAGTATTACCAGATAATCCATGCATTGCACTTTGAAATAATAGTTTTCAATGTTAAATAGAGTTGTAAACAGTTGTGAAAGATAAAGATTGAGGGGGTAATTATAAACTATAGTATAGATATAAAAAAAAAAAAAGACCCTATCGTTTACAATTGATAATTTAAATCTAGTTTATCAACTGTAAAACGATATTTAGCTTTTTTTTCAAATTTGTTAATTGGGGTACATAAAAATCATCAATTTGAATAATAAGTTAATTGTTATTCAGATTCTAAACCTTGTTATTCTTAAGCAAAAAACTTGAGATTCATATTGGAAAATTTTGAGATTTAAAAATTACGTTTTAAAATATGGACAAGAAGTCTCTCGAGCATAAGAACATAAATAACAAGATTTCATGGATCCCTTCCTCAACCTGTGCTATTCTTTACTAATATACTGAGTCTATCTATCAGCTTTGTCTGTCCACTTTAGTCGTGCCTTTTTTTTGGCATTTCATGAAAGTAATACAATCGAATACACAGCATTTATATTTTGTCCTCTTTGTCCGGTATTTTATAGTTCTTTTTCTTCAGTAATTCTAAATGTACCATTTTTTTCTCATACATGTTAAAATGGATTACTTCGCGTCATAATGTGCAACCTTCATTAAGATTGAAAGATCCTTGAAAAAAATGTAGATTATGAAGTTATGTTTATGCTGGATGCATTAGAAGCTTTAAAATGCATATCCAGGGATTTAATGAAAGTTAAACCAATGTCATATGGTATGGAGAATTGTAGAAATTCTACGTAGGGATCGTTTAACTTTCTGGCAAATGAATAGGATGAGCCCACACAACTATGGAGTGTACATTACTTCACTTGTTACTGCTCTTCAGTGTGCTATAATCATTGATTACAATAGAGGGCATCGACTTCCCAGCTTCATCTTTTCTCGTTCATCTTATTCATGTCAAACTGGAAGCTGTTTTCTTCGAAAATATTTCAATACAGTAAAAAAGGGGCTACCAATTTGCTTCACTCACTTTCAGGGGGAAAAACCATATATTTGTTTGACAACTGATCTAAGCATTGTTGCAGACAAAATTATTACCTGTCAACGAAATAAACTCTTGATAAAAAAGAGTTTTATCTGAGGTGTCTAAACAAGAAGTTAAGTGTTATGTTCTTACCTTAACAAAATAATCCGACAAATGTCTCTTTTTCTGCTAAATTTATTGATCATTTATAAATACCAGTATATCATAAGTCAAACAAATGGATTTCAATAAATAGATTATGTCATGTAACACATACATAAATCACAAGCATATTCAATCACAAGTTAGGTAAAATATAGGTAAATAAACTGGCAGTCGATCAATGTCTTTCCAAATCTGGAATGCATACTCTCGTTTACAATATCTGCATATGTAAAAGGTATACTATTGTGTCTTTCAAAACATGTTTATGTTAATTACTTAATAAAATCACTATCTAACGATACTTAAAGATATACATGTATTTGTAAGAATTCTGTGAAAGGCACTTCAAATTTCAAAAAACATAATTGAAATATTAGATAAATAATTTAAAGGATATTTAAGATAGGCCAGGTGGTCTCTATTTTGTTTAAATACATGAATACAGTTTATCATAACTCACATATGTTCTTCATATAAAAATAATATTCTGCTGGAGCAACTGCAGATATAAAAAAGTCAATAATTGTCAGAAACTTTAATTTCACCAGATATATGAATTGTACTCACATCATAAGTAAATTATAATACTACATGTTGTATGTAAATTATCTATAAAGCTGAGAGAGGTGTTTGCAAAATGATTTTAATCTTTGTAATAAGGAACCTAGGGCAAATTCTTACAACATATAAAAATGGATTATGTAAGACCAGGAAAAAACTTAATCTTTAGTTTCTCAATCCAACAATTTTAAAATTAAGGACCTCTCTGCATTCCACCCTAAATTTCAGGGTACTTTTGTGTAGTTTAACTGACCCATCATTTGACATAAAGGAATAAATTGTAATCTGCACTATATGACATAATTTAAAACAAATCCAAGTATTCTAAACATTATATAAGACCAATATAAAGTAGTTGCAAACTTTATTTGCATGTACTTTCTCCATTTGAGTAAGCAAAACCGAAATTTATTATTACTTCATTATCTTTGAAGATTTTTCCTGGATAAAAAAAGCACACTCCCTATATTAAAAATGAATTAGTTAATTTCAAAATATCCCAGGCCTTTTTCACATTACATAATTTTCTCAAAGTCCAAAAAAAAAAAAAAAACCCATTTTTCATCAGTGTATAGAGGGTCTTTAATTACGGCAGGCAGGTTTTCTCTTTTTCTTCATTTTATTTTTTAAAGCAAGAGTTATCTCTCTTTTTCTTTTCAGCAAATGATAATACCAACTGAATCTTACCTTTTTTACTCTTGTAATCAACTTTAATTATTTTATACAAAACATTTTTAAAAGCTTATTGATAAAATATTTTTATAACAGGAAATATATTGCGTATCTATTAATAGAAAATGTGTCTTTTCGAATTATGAGTGCAAAGGGAAATAACTCAATTTTCTTTTTGTACTTCAAAAATAGAAAGTTGAGTTTTTCTCCTTTTTAATACATGACTAAAATCGATCATTGCCGCAGTGTTTGACATTCGGTGGTGCCGAGAAACTATAGACTAATTTTTTTTGTATGTTAAAGTCAAGTCACTTTTACATCATTCATAACAGTCAATATAATTCTTCATACATGTAGTAAAATATCACAAGTAAAATATTCTATAAATAAAATGCTTAAAACTTAAAGGTAACATACCCCATCATACATGTATGTTTAATATCAAAAAAACAAACAGACAAACAAACAAACAAACAAACTTGTTCTTCCATACATATTATTAATGGTGACAAACAAAAACAGGGCTCACAGATTAATATAGGTATATCAGCTAAAACAATCAGAAAACACAAATACTTTGTTCTTCTGGTCTTTATTAAAAATAAAATTCAACAATTTTGAAAAACATCTCAAGCAAGTGACACAGTTTTAACCATATCAGAGTTCTTCTTATTACAAAGAAAGGGATTTTCCATAACAGATGCTTGTTGTGTTTAACAAAGTTCAGGCATTTTATTTTATAATTAGAGCACCATTTTAAACTTGCATTTCAATGAGGTACACAACAATTTCTTTCCAATGAAGTTTAAGTGATTTCAATGAACTGACAACTTACCCAAAGTAACTGTTTTGACAGACTTTTCTTTCATGATCCCTATCCTTCATTATTAACTAATTTCATTATAAAGAACATGGGGGAATAAGGCAAAGAGAATGCTAATTTGATAGTATAAAAATCAAATTTTATTCTTTTCTGCAATGTTTTAATCATTTAGTATTTTTGGAAATCAGTATTGTGAATATCTTGTCAAAATTTTTTTTTAATTTTCAATGAATAATGGGTTGTCAGTTAAGTGTATCTGTTTTTATTGATATTAATCAATATATCAAAGAAAAAAAATTGATTTGGGTGAGTTTTAATTTTTCTATCCTTCTAAATTATAGTCCAAATATGTAAATATTTTTCTTTCCTTATTCTTCCTTTGCAAGTAAGTGTTTATTTCATAGTGCAAAATATTAAACATCTAAATTATTCTAGCCAATGTTTTTGTAAAATAAATCAACTAAAGATATGGTTTCGTTTTGTTTCCTTTTAAAAAAATTACACTAAAGAAAAAAATTACTGAAACAATGAAATTGGAGAGCAAGAACATACACTGACTAGCATATTAATTTTAAATGGTGTGTTACTCAGCATTGTTAACGTATTGTTTAACATCCTTGTAATATAGGCTAAGGCAAAACTGGCATCATATAATGAACACAGATTGTAAGCTTAAAAATAAGACTTTTAAAAGGTAAAACTTCACAAGACAGTCATGAGGACAAAAACATTTATTAACATCCCTGTATCAATCATCTATCTGACTCAATGCCTGGAACCGGGGAATATCTGAAAATGCCTCACTTCCTGAAACAGAGAGGGTAATGGATTACTCAGGATATAGAGAGACAGGTGTTTGAAGAATAAATTCCTCAACAACAAGATTTTCACTCATGACTCAAGTACATACATGTACACCATTACAGTTTGCGACAATGTGAAATATCATTATGGTAACATGTATTAGAGTTTGTGACAATGTGAAATATTATTATGGTAACATGTATTGCGATGTGAAGAACATCAATAAATGATAAATGATAAAAACAGTTTCTTTCATTCTAGCTAAATGAAAAATGGGGAAAAGTGATGTAAAATTCAAACAGAATGTCAAGGTTGAAAAATTATACCCATTGATTTGCTCTCACAAATACATATCAGTGAATGAAATTTGATGTAAATATATTGCAACAGTGTCCTTGAAATTGAGCTAAAAAAATGTGAAAATTGAGGACAAGTTAAAGTCAAACAAAACATGGATAAAAAACTTTTTCAAGTTAGAATTGCTCTCACCAATATGTGTTGACTAACCAAAGCTTTGTTGTTCTTGAGGAGAAGAATTAATTTTTTTTTTCCTTATACATTCCTGTGTAAAACTTTGTTCCCCTATTGTGGTCCCACTCTACCCCTGGGGGTCATGATTTGAACAAAGTTTAATCTACATGACCTGAGAATGCTTGCATATAAATATCATGACTTTGCTGTTCAGAAGTTTTTTTTCACCCATCTCATGAAAAATTTTGATCACCTTAGTCCTTTTGTGGTCCCATCCTACCCCTAGGGTCATGATTTAAACAAACTTGAATCAACACTATGTAATGAAGCTTTCGAATAACTATCGTTTCATCTTTTCTGGGTCAGATTTTAAAAGATACCATTAAGTTTCACTAAATCTTAATTATTACACCTTGAAAGAGGGCGTTGCCCTTCATTTGAACAAACTAAAATCTCCTTTATCCAAGGATGCTTTTTGTTAAGTTTGGTTGAAATTAGCCCAGTGGTTCTTGAGAAGTAAAAAAATATGAAAAGTCTACAGGCGGACAGATAGACAGACAATATGTGATCAGAAACGTTCACCTGAACTTTCAGCTCAGGTGAGCTAAAAAATAAGATTAAGATCAAACAAGAGTTGTTTGTGAAACACTTATGCCCCCCCCCCCCCCCCCAATAATTGGAATTTTCCTAAGTCCAAGGGGTATAACTCTGTCAAAAATTGCTCGATCATACCAAAACAGAAGTTGACCTAGATATTCTTATGATAAATCTGTATACCAAATTTCATTTCAGTATGTGCAACCTCTGCGAAGAAACGGAAACTGCAAATAAATGGAATTTTTCTAAGTCCAGGGGTATAACTCTGTCAAAAATTGCTCGATCGTACCCAAAACAGAACTCGATTTAGATATTCTTAAGACAAATCTGTAAACCAAATTTTCTTTCAGTTATGGCAACCTCTGCAAAGAAAATGAATGGAAACTGTTGGTGGACCAACAGACAGAAGGACAGCTAGACAGACCAACTGACAGACTGACCGACAGACAGAAAATGTGTTTTCTTTTCAAAAGAAATAATCCTAAAATCTATTTACTGAAATTAATTTTTGAAACACTTTTATTTACAGACTGATCTTTAAAATGATCGAGTGTCATTTTAGTAGCATGTCCACATTTTGGGCAAATTTCCAACTTTGAGTCATAAAATAAGGTCTATACTGTCAATACCTAAAGAGCGAGATTCATGCAACTGAAAAAAAATATTGTCATACCTTCTGAAAAAGTTACAGCTAGTTTCTCAAAAAGTTTTACTTACAGAAAGATTTAAATCCATTATTGATTATATTGTGTAGAATTCTTTTTCTTTTAAAATGCTTGTGAAAACGAGACTGACATAGGTTTTATTTTATCAAACACGACACTGACGACAATTTCATACTTAAAAGAGGACTAAATCTCTTTGTAAATGTTCAGTTTTCCGTTTGCTTTGAGGAAAAGCTGCATGCTTACCTTAAATACTGGACAGTTTAATGTTAAGTAACTACACTGATATAAACTATATTATTGTATTCATATACAAAATTACCAATGGTCTCCAAATGGTATAGGTATTGTAACATTTTAGAAAGATATACATGTACATGTACTTTAAATATAACATCCACAAATATTCAAATATGAATAGACTAGTAGTCCTGAATATTCAAATATTGATTTTTGGTATTCCTTTCAGCTCTATCCTGGTCATATACATTCATTTAACAAGAGGCCCAAGGACCTAGAATCACCTAGAATCAATTGTAAAGCCCTGCCACTTCTATGCTAATACTCTTAGTATCCAAAATATTTAAATAAAGCCTTGAAATTCCATAGTTGTTCAACATGACCTAATTTTTGGTTAACACACTCTGAGAACCCATGACGTATCAACTGAAACAAGAGGCCCATGGGCCACAACGCTGACTTGAGCTACTTTGGCACTGCTGTTCTTCACAAAACCTCCCCTTTGTAATATTTATTGCGGCCACGCTCTACCCCCAGGGGCCATGAATTGAACAATTTAGAATCTACACTACCCAAGGATTTTCAAAGATTTTGCCTATATATTTCTATGTAAAACTTTGATTCCCTATTGTGGCCCCGCCCTACCCCCAGGGGCCATGATTTGAACAATTTAGAATCTACACTACCCAAGGATGCTTCCACATAAGTTTCAACTTTTCTGGCCCAGTTGTTCTTGAGAAGAAGATTTTCAAAGATTTTGCCTATATATTTCAATGTAAAACTTTGATTCCCTATTGTGGCCCCGCCCTACCCCCAGGGGCTATGATTTGAACAATTTAGAATCTACACTACCCAAGGATGCTTCCACATAAGTTTCAGCTTTTCTGGCTCAGTGGTTCTTGAGAAGAAGATTTTCAAAATTTTGCCTATATATTTCAATGTTAAACTTTGATTCCCTATTGTGGCCCCGCCCTACCCCCAGGGGCCATGATTTGAACAATTTAGAATCTACACTACCCAAGGATGCTTCCACATAAGTTTCAACTTTTCTGGCCCAGTTGTTCTTGAGAAGAAGATTTTTTAATGACCCCACCCAATTTTTATCTTTCCTTGATTATCTCCCCTTGTAAGGGGGGTTGGCCCTTCATTTTAACAATTTAAACTCCCCTTCACCCAAGGATGCTCTGTACCAACTTTGGTTAAAATTGGCTCAATGGTTCTTGAGAAGAAGTTGAAAATGTGAAAAGTTTACAGATGAACAGACAGACAGACAGACAGACGGACGGACGCCGGACAACAGGTGATCAGAAAAGCTCACTTGAGCTTTCAGCTCAGGTGAGCTAACAAATTGATGATTCTAAGCCTCTTATTATCCAAAATATTTAGAACCCAAGGTGCATCAACTGACAAAGATTGGTGATTCTAAGCCACTTACTATCTGAAATATTCAAATAAAACCATGAAATTCCAAATTTGTTGGTCACTCTGACCAACATTTTGGTTAATGTACTCGGAAGAGCTAAAAATGCATTCTGTGTATGTATAACTTAAATATGATAAGCTAGAGATAAGCTAGAACACTCATCTACAGTTCACAATATACAGTTCTTCCATTGAGACCACTGCCATACTTTAACTTTTAAAAGAAAGTTCATGTATAGCATTGTTATCCCTGTTCATATGTCCGTCTATCCATCACATTACCTTGTATTCTGTTTGATCTACATTCTCAGAAATAGCCCCCAAATCCTTTTTTGCATATGATTGGCCTTATCTATATGACTTGCAATGTCAGTTGCTGTTTTTGTACTTTTTAAAAATATTGATTTTCAACCCCAGAGACCTCTAGGGGTCTAAAAAGATATGCATAAAAAAATTGTCATGTAGATGATCAACAAGGTTTCAGAATTTCATTCCTTGTCCCAGGGCTCCACAGGGGTTATGAGTTTGGTTAATTAAGAAAACTTGTCATTGTACCAGTGTTTCTATTTTTGGGGTTTCAAGAATTAAATTCTGTTATGAAGTGTCATTACGCCAAAGTTGCAGACGTGCAATAAGGTTTCAGATGCTGCAAGTGACCTACATTTTCAAATGAGTGATCTGATTTAACTGTTGTAAAAGGTCTAGCTCCATGTACCTTTAACTCCTATATTGATCAAACTTATATGCATGTCAGATGACAAAAAATATGCAAAATATCAATCATGATTTGATTTTTTTTATATGAGCTTTTTTTGTCAGGTGTTCAAGAAAATTTATTTCTAAGTTACAATAAGTCATTTCTTGACCAGTCTTGCAGAGAAGTTGCATCTTCAGTGGGATACATTCTACCTGATTGGACGCAAAAAGTGATTAACAATTTCTGGATGATTGGTCTAGCACTTTCCTTTTGGAACAGATTCACTTCAAGGCAAACTGTAAGTCAGTCTTGAAGAAAATATGTTTCATCTTGGAATATTACACTCCAAAGCACCTACAGGACAACTGTTGAACAAAGATGTATGGATTTTGCCTGAGATACATGTAGTTTAACATGCTTTAGATGCTGTATTCAACCTCTGATTAGAATGCTATTGAAGTGAATGAGTTGAGGTAAGAGGATTGTCCCATTTAAATTTATGCAGAATAATGTGTAAGTAACTTCATTTTAAAATATTATTGGGTTTGAAATTCTACAATACCAATATTAGACCTGCTGCATAAGAAAGTATAAGAATTTATATGAAAATTTTAACTTACTTAAAATAGTCTTTGGGACTGAAAATATTGATTTTCCCATTATAACTTCTGTTTCAAAAACCCAGCTGGGAGGCTTCCATGCTGAGAACTGAAAAGTTAGAAAATTAACCCTTTTACCTACAGGAAATAATCCTACAAAGCAATAGTCAAATTTATATTATTGATTGTAACTTTTTTCCATCAAACAAAGTCCTAAAATGTCTTAAGTAATAATCTGACAGCTGTTAGCTACAGCAATTTTATGATTATATCATATTTCAGATCAGCACTTGTATCTGTTTCTCTCTCTTGCTAATCTGAACTTGTTGCAACTTCATTTGGGGGATAAGATGTCTAGACATTTTGCACCAGTAAACCTCTCAGTGAATTAACAAGCCTTGAAGTAGATAAATAAATAAAAGGTGATATCTGGCACTATTGTTTATGTGCACTACAGAGAAAATTGCTGAGTAATTAAGAAATGTTACCATTTCCTACTGATAAAAGACATTTATGAATGATTTCAGTGCAAAAGTTAAGTACGTTTTCTGGATTCCAAGCTTTTCAAATGAATAAAATATATTGACATTCTCTATCATCATTAAATCAGTTTGTTACATAACAAACAGTGTTAGTGAATATCAGTATTAAAGATTTCAGTCTGGAAAGTCGATGAGACTGATCACCAAATTTTCACAACTTCTTATTTTCCAAAGTAATTATCTGGTACATTGTATTTATAAGCAATACAAAAAAAGTTATGAGAATCTTGGTTACTGTAGTATACAATCTTTAATAATACAAACATGTAAGAATGAAAATTTCGCAAGCAAATATTGTTATTTTAAAGCATGAATCAAATTAATGTTCCCATAAATAAAAAGTAATTTATATGCAATGTTAAATTGTGAATGTTCCAGTGTTATAATACACATAAATTGTACACATGTCTAACGTGTACAATTTATTTTCATTTTTAACTTTGTGTTAGATAACATTTCATAATCTACTGTTAAGAGTCCTTTCCCCTTTTCCAAATTTAAAAAAAAAATCTTAACCCCATCTAAGTTATTCATATAAAATTCCTACCTCTACATTCTTTGGGTGCATCAGACAATATATAGGTACAGTAAGATTTCCCTCCTGATGGTTGTGGAGTTTAACCTTGACATCAATATAGTAGTAACACTGCAAATGAATGCATTATTAAGATATCTGCATTATACTGAGTGTGACTTGTGCAAAGAATAAACGACAGTATTGAGTACACATTGGCAAGGACCCTCATGTCATGCACAATTTTATATTAAAAAAAAGGTTATTTCTGTCATTTTCATTGGCTGAAGGGATGTCACGTAATATTCGTCCTTTTGTGATACTGGCACTAGAGCACATCTGCTGAATATGATAACAGTCAGAACTTAACATTTGGCTGCACAAAAATTGCGTAGAACATGACACCATAGTGTAAGAAGCATGTTTTTACCATTGTGACTTAATGACAGCAAAGTCTGTTCATAGGATTGTGTCAGATTATTTACTTTGAGTGATTATATATATAATATATTTAACTATATAATATAATATAAAAATAACTATTATGGACTTCAGTAAACAGTCAATATGTGGTTTTAAGAACCCATGTCAAGTAATATTGACCTCAGACACAGAAAATGATAGAGACCTCACAAGCACAGTGACTGTCGCTATCACTTTCTGTGTCTTCAGTCAGTATCACTTGATATGGATCCTTATAACCAGATATTGACCTACACTGAATTGCATTATCATGTAATATATTGCATAATCATATACATGTATAATATATTGCAGGACACCGATATTTAGGAACCTGTTTTTATAATTTTGGGATATAGATATAACATCCATGTTGAGCCTTCAAGCTGCCTATTGGTTGATCAATATGATCCTTTCTTCAGCAGTGGGTAGGGAGGAACTATGGTTAAAGTGAAAGAGGTTCTTATAACTTGGACTGCTGTTGTTCACAGAACTATGATGGTCAGAGAGCAAAAGACTGTGGTGACACTGAGAATGAACAATTGTTATGTCTTGATGAGTCTAGATGAAAACAGGAGGTAGTTAGAGGGCAGACAGGTAATATAATGTCCCTGTGCAGTTCTGGGACAAGGCTCCTTGAAGTCTAGGTTCACAGAGACTGAGAGTGATTTTTAAAATAAATGTATCTTACTTACATATTATATACATGTTTAGCCCTGGGGTTTAAAAATGCTCTTTCCCATATGTAAGCTGTACAGTGTAAGAATGCATGTCTGCTTATGGGTACATTACTGAAAAGCCACTCATGATTAGACGATTGTGCATATAAACTTTCATGAGTTAAAGATATTTTGGAATAAAATTGAAATATACATGAAGCCATTCAGAAGAAATTATTGACACAGATAATCTAGCATTGGGAGTTCTTGGACAGTTAGTCATCATGGTCAATGATCAATGGTGATATATATCATTAAAAAGCCTGTAAAACTGCACTGCTGTTTTAAATGAATGTTTTGCTCCTGATTTTTGAGTAAATTTAAAATCTGAAGTCATACATGATATGGGTTCATGACACCTGCACTAAAAAACCTTTAAGTACAATGTGCTTAGATATTTTTGGAAATTTAAAGAGAAAAAAAATAAATGGGGGGTGGGTTCGAGTGTAATCAGAAATATCCTGGTGTTTTGCTGAAATGGGTAACTACAATGTAATACATGTAAATGCAACTTTATTTGTAGCAGTGTTGCAATAAAATCATTTTAAAAATTTGCTTTGTTGAAAAAAATTAAAAACAACACTTTACATCAATATCAAGAAAGATAACTTGAAATAATTTTTTAAGCTTGAATGGATATAAATAAATCATTGTTTGAAATATTAGTTTAATAACAAGTAGAGATTTTTAAGGATTTTAAACATTTATGCTTGAAATTCATTCAAATTCACATTTCTTTTTAACTTCAAAACATTCTCAACTTTCATGCAATTTAACAATCTAGGCAGTTACTAAGCAACCTGTCTAGAATCAAGATATGACAAAGATAAATGAATACGTATATGATAAAAGCATAATTAGAAGTGTGATTGTTGTTAAAAAGTTTTTCTTGAAATTCTATGTTGATTTTAAAGGATGCTTTTTATCTTATTTACTAGTAATTTGATCCAGTCTAGTTTAAAAATACATTTATGAAATATTCCTATATCCAAGTATTTTTATTCTCTTTTTTTTCAGTGTTTTTGTGTGCCACTCTTGTTATCTATTGTTGGGCAACAGAGAGGTACACAAAATTCTGTAGTTTTACAATAATTATTTATTGAAAAATTAGAATCTCACTTTTAAAAATTCATTTTGATCAATTTATTCTTTTAATTCAATCATTGATTGAAAAAGACAAGAGGACAAAGTGCATTAAAGAAAATGTTTGACCTATTATTTCATGAAAACTGCAGTTGTGAGTTAAATTAAGGCATGTGTTAAAAAGATATTAGCCTGTTAAATTATGAAAAAATGGACATTAGAGTGATATTTAAAGCTCCAGAGTAACATAGAACAATCTTCAACAGGTCGATATACCTGTGTATGGTGTCCATTGAGAGAGGTCAATGCTGGGCTATTGTCCTTATGTTTTAGAGGGATCCAGATTTCTTGAAGGCCCCTTTAACAAATTAAAAATAAAAATAAAAGAAAATCATACATTTTTATAAATTTTGATATACCTGAGTGTGTGAGCCAGTGACTGAGGATTCGATGGGCATTTCTTGTTCATTTCTCAGAGGAATACGAATATTATCCAGTCCCCTAGAGGTAAAATACAGACAAAGTAGAGAAATGTACTCTCTGTAGTGTACTAGAGCAACCTTTGGTTCTTGTGTTAAGTGCAAATTGCATGAAATGCACTTAAATACATGAATAACCATAACTACATTAGTAAAGCTAAAATGAACAAATTAACATAAACATATATAAGAATATGAAGTGAAATGTACAAAAGCATTTTGGCATCTGACAGCTAGAACACTGAAGTTTAAAATTCTCTTTTGGAAGCAAATCTAGTCTTCTTTAAAAAAAAATATGAGCTTACAATATGATTGATACAAAATCCATGTCCTTTCTGGTAAACTTAAATTGAATGCCATTTATAAGATCTTACTTATTCAGGACTTCTTGACTACAGCCAGAAGCTGCTATTGAATTTTCCCACACCACCTTTGGATCCACTCCCTCAGGTCTGATGTATGTTCTATCATTTCCTACATCTACAGTAACCTTTGGGTCATAGCAGGGAACCACGATACCCCGTTTAACCAAAATTAGTTCTCTACATAGCTAAAAATATATAGATCTTAATAAATGATAAATATAAAAGTTAAACAGCATCAAATTTTCATTAGAAAGCAAATTTGTGGAGATCATAAAAAATTTTACATTTACTACATGTATCCTACTTTGATCTTGTTATATCTATCATTCTGATATTATCTTGTTACTTTTGGTTGCTATTTTCATATGGATATAGTTTTACCATTTACATACAAGGATTAGTTTTTTAACAATAAAATCTTTGTAGAGTTTGTTTTAAATTCAAATGTACATATGGTAAGTATATTATCTATTTTACCTTGATAGAAATACAGGACACTTTGACATCTGTGTTATTGGTGATGATGATTCTCAGTTTGGCTACATCCCCTGATTGCCATACTTGCTTAGTCAATCTAAAATAAACAACTTCTATAGAATAGACATAGCTAAGACTTGCATAGTCAATCTAAAATAAACAACTTCTATAGAGTAGATGTATCCAAGACTTGCTTAGTCAATCCAAAATAAACAACTTCTATAGAGTAGACATAGCTAAGACTTGCTTAGTCAATCTAAAATTAACTACTTCTATAGAGTAGATGTATCTAAGACTTGCTTAGTCAATCTAAAATAAACTACTTCTATAGAGTAGATGTATCTAAGACTTGCTTAGTCAATCTAAAATAAACTAATTCTATAGAGTAGACATAGCTAAGACTTACTTAGTCAATCTAAAATAAACTACTTCTATAGAGTAGACATGCTAAGACTTGCTTAGTCAATCTAAAATTAACTACTTCTATAGAGTAGACATAGCTAAGACTTGCTTAGTCAATCTAAAATAAACTACTTCTATAGAGTAGATGTATCTAAGACTTGCTTAGTCAATCTAAAATTCACTACTTCTATAGAGTAGATATATCCAAGACTTGCTTAGTCAATCTAAAATTATCTACTTCTATAGAGTAGATGTATCCAAGACTTGCTTAGTCAATCTAAAATAAACAACTTCTATAGAGTAGACATAGCTAAGACTTGCTTAGTCAATCTAAAATAAACAACTTCTATAGAGTAGACATAGCTAAGACTTGCTTAGTCAATCTAAAATAAACAACTTCTATAGAGTAGACATAGCTAAGACTTGCTTAGTCAATCTAAAATAAACAACTTCTATAGAGTAGATGTATCCAAGACTTGCTTAGTCAATCCAAAATAAACAACTTCTATAGAGTAGACATAGCTAAGACTTGCTCAGTCAATCTAAAATTAACTACTTCTATAGAGTAGATGTATCTAAGACTTGCTTAGTCAATCTAAAATAAACTATTTCTATAGAGTAGATGTATCTAAGACTTGCTTAGTCAATCTAAAATTAACTACTTCTATAGAGTAGACATAGCTAAGACTTGCTTAGTCAATCTAAAATAAACTACTTCTATAGAGTAGATGTATCTAAGACTTGCTTAGTCAATCTAAAATTAACTACTTCTATAGAGTAGATGTATCCAAGACTTGCTTAGTCAATCTAAAATAAACAACTTCTATAGATTAGATGTATCTAAGATTTGCTTAGTCAATCTAAAAAAACTACTTCTATAGAGTAGACATGCTAAGACTTGCTTAGTCAATCTAAAATTAACTACTTCTATAGAGTAGATTTATCTAAGACTTGCTTAGTCAATCTAAAATAAACAACTTCTATAGATTAGATGTATCTAAGATTTGCTTAGTCAATCTAAAAAAACTACTTCTATAGAGTAGACATGCTAAGACTTGCTTAGTCAATCTAAAATTAACTACTTCTATAGAGTAGACATGCTAAGACTTGCTTAGTCAATCTAAAATAAACTACTTCTATAGAGTAGACATAGCTAAGACTTGCTTAGTCAATCTAAAATAAACATCATCTAGAAAGTAGACATAGCTTAAATTGATTGAATAAAATCTCCCAGTTTAAAACTGACTATTTAATATACTAATTGAAAAGAATTTAGCAGATTTTGACATTTCACTTCATAAAACTAAGTTTTCAAGACACCTTAAATTCTGCAGAAATTCCTTTATAAAGCTCTGTGAAGAAGTGCTGGGAAATACAGTACATAATGTTTTGTCCTCTCATTTGCAAACATTTAGACACTGAGTATATTCAGTCCACTGCTGAAATATAACTCTCTCTAATACAAATATTTTTTTTTTACATCCATCATGTTTCTCCCAAATGCAGGGTTGTGGATAACCACTCGCCCACTCGCAAATGCAAGTAAAATTTGCTGTGGGCGATTGGATATCAAAAATCTGGTTGCCCACATGGTGAACAATTTTTTTTTTCTGGAACATAATCACACTTCAGATTTATATTTTATGTACTTTCAGTTTTTAAGAAAACGCTCTACTAACCTTGATTATTTGTGTTGCATAAAAGCATATTTTTCAAACAACATGACTGAGATCAAACATGGCGATTTATCTCCGTTAAATCTGATAATACGAGAATAAATGTTCGAGATTGTTCTAATAGAAATAATGTAACAATGGCTATGGTTGTCACATACTCCATCTGACTAGTTATTCACAGATAGAATTTGAATTACCGTGTCAAATGCACACATTAAAAGATCGGTATCAAACTTCATCACAGGTTATATGTAATTTATTATTTAATACACTTGTCCCCTTGTCCACATGGCCCCTATATTCAAAAGTTGACCACAACCCTGCAATGTCAATGATATTAAGAGAGTTTGTAACCATTTGTGAGAAAGCGTGACTTAGTTCAGATAGTCAGAGTTATTAAAGCGATGCTTGTGTGCCTGCATTGTGCTAAAGATAATATAAACAGAAAATTGGTTTGTGTTTCTTCATATCTTTGAATTCATGAAATATCACACATCATGTATAAAGTGCATTATGTTTTTTTTTCTAAGTGAACATATGCAGAGACAAAAACATATATTAGAAATATATGTCACATGCACTTAACAACATTTTTTTCTTTCTAATCATAAAAAATAACCCTCTAGGTACATGTACATGGGGGGATTATCTAATTTTTGTAATCTCCTTTTTTTATCCGGATTAAAAAAAAGACCTGTCAAGTACCCGAAGAATTTCTTAACAATATGCCATCACAACTATTAAAGATTATTTAATAATCATAGTCATGATTTGTAATCAAATTCTTTTCAAAATAAAGAATTGTGTAAATACGGTGTAATTAACTAAAGAAACTGGGGGGATAAGTCGAGCCATATGCCTACATAATGATCGAGAAAAAATCAGTAAATTCATTATAAAAAAAAATTCACTTTTTGTTGAATTAATGTAATGCTTATTACCATTTGCATACAAATTTGACAAAACCTGAATACTGTAACAGCAAAAATGATTCTGATTAACACAAAAAATGGCATCACGCTCAATTTTCACAAAAAGTGACATAAATTGGATGATATAACTACATTTTTTAATAGAGTGAGTCATCGTACCATTTTTTTGAGAACGATTAATGAAAGGCAATGGAAAGATGTTGCTATTTACACTTGCAAAAATTTGGTACGAAGACCCACTCTACATAGAAAATTAAGTTAACTTACTTAAATTTTCACCGTGGTCTTAAAAAATTCTAAGTCCAAATACGCTTGCTAAATATAGAGAACTGTATGCTATTTAAATGGGTATGTATGTGTGACTCTGTGGTATAGTGGTTAGAGAGGAGCTCTTTAAAGGGATGTTTATTGAGGAAAGTGTTCGAGTCATGATTTTATTTATTTTTTATTTTTTGGGGAGGGGGTTAATTTTGTTTTACTTTATAAAAAATGTCTATAGGAATAACATATTTTTCACTGGAAATAAAATATATATATATATATATGTGTGTGTAGTAATGAACTCATTTACAGTAAATTATTTAAAATGCCAGATAAAAATCATAAAAATCATAAAAAAAAAATCATTTTTGAATACTTTTATTCCCGTTTTTATTTATTTTTACTACAAGCGCTTCCAGATCACCACTATCATTATATACTATGTTAACATTTTTATAATATCTCCACAATAAGTGTTAACACTCAATATGCAGATTAATTAATAGAAGTCCCTACCCATGTTAGACACTTGTGACAATAAATGAAGGTCAACTGTTTAGCTTGTTTAGAATATAAATATCATTTTGAGAACTACTGTAAACATTAAAATGCTTAAGTAAATTCGAACAATTGAGAGATTTTTTCCAATAAATGTTCTTGCATAGCCGAAAAATGGGCATGGGCACATGGCTCGTCTTATTCTCCCAGATTCTTTGCTTGATCAGCAAGACCATACCTACAAGGTCATCTATTTGTAACAGGAAAGGAGAAAATGTATGTTTAGACCAAGAATTGAACCTGTGATCCCTGCATCAATACTCAAGCCTTCTAAGGACTGGGTACCCAGGCCAATATTCATGGCCCAAACCATTACATTCCTCCCTCCTTAAATTGTCTTTGCTCTCCAAACTTTCTATCATGCTAATTCAAAAACATGAGGGTGTTCTTCCTACACTAATGCTATTGTATACAGAATATGCGAAACGCAAAGTGAAATACAGTTCAGTGCAATCTCAGTTAGATTCCTTTATAGATTGAGTGCAGAAGTGACATACTTGGCAGTGACATGCATGCTCTTCTTGAGAAACAGGAAATGAGAGACCTCAATTTTACAGTCCACAGCCATAGGAGGGTCATTGGGAAGCAGGAAGCTAGGCAATGGGTGATTTACCACTAGGAACTGATCAGTCTAAGAAAAAGGAAAAAATACAAGAGTAAAAATTTGTTACTTGTAAATTCATGTATATGTTATTTTACTGTTTTGTCCCTGATCCTACATTGACTTTTACTTGTATTGTTGAAAAGAAAAAAAATTAAAAAATTTTGTGTTTTATTTATAAAGAGTTTTAAAGAGCTTCACTGATATGCTTTCAGCTCCAATTAGCTCAGCTTTCAGCCAATACTGGACGGATGCTCTCCATTTTCCATTATCTGCCCCATTTTCTGACGAGAAGGAACCTTAAATTTATACAAACATCTAAAAGTAACAAACTGTTGACAGCAGGTTAAATACATGTGAAATATTTCAATCACTGGTTTCCTGGTTCTCAAGTGTCCTCTTCAATTTTTGAAAAATACAAGTACCATTAATCATTTTTTATGACACCAACATTAAAATAACAAAACAAACCCGGAAATGCTGGAAGTACATAATAACTAGAAAATTTTATGAGAGCTGTAGGTATAATGAAGAAGCTTCTCACCTGGTATTTCTGTGAGTAAGGACACTTTGAAGGGAAAACAGTAGGAACCAATGCCCATAACATCCGTATCTGGAAAAAATATCACACTTAATGACAAAATGTTAAACATTTATATACACATGAAAAGTTTAACATTTTTAAATCATGTTTGTATATATCAGATTTCACAGAATCTAAAACAGACATTGAAGAAATACCTTCACAGGTGTACAGTGTGACATCTTTTGCATCAATATAACATTTGCTGTCATTCAAACATTGACCTTCATGGTTTTCATTCCCTGAGCACTGATAAAAAACTGTAACATACGAAAACACAATTATAATTTTAACATTGAAACTAAGTTACTTTGTGTGGAAAACCTTATTTATCAATATCATCCTATAAACAGTGTGCACTGTACTTACTGCTTTCTAATCCTTCAAACTTAAGACGAATACCTCGTCCTGCAGTAGGATTACAGATATTCAAGTATACAACACTAAAATAAAAAAAAAATCAAGTGTGAACTACAGCAAGAGTAGCATTTTGAAAGAACTGCAGAGAATTTTCTATTTTTAATAACCAAGGCAACACCATTGTTGAAATCAAAAACCGATAATTCAAATTTTTTATCTTAGCATAGTCCACTTGTGGACCAAAACTGTATGAGGAATCTAAGAGTTTTTGAAAAATTATTTACAGACAGATGATGGACACCTTACTAATGCATAAGTTCATCTGGTCTCTGACCAGTAGAGCTAAAAATATAGATACAACTATGAACATGATGAAATCAGAGCAATATAGCAAAAAGTATATATCACATCATCAGTTTACCAAACTTAACATGAAATTTTGAAAATTCAAATGATATGCATTGATCATTTTCTGCCATTTTGATTGTTAATTTTTATTTGATTGAACATAGATTTTTCAAGAAGCTCAATGAAAATTTCTACTTTAATTCTTTATTAAACAACTTTAAGCCATACGGCCCATCAGTATACACAAAATTAACATAATTTTGCACGCATAGCGAGAGTCTACGGGGGGTGGAACCCCTAGTGTCCAATTTACTAGTATTATTGTATCCCGATACATACCTGATGATATGGTATGCATATCAAAAGCCCTTGCCATCAATATGAATGATACCACTGTATTGTAACACCTCTAGTTGCAACATTGCAAAATAATTCATAACATGAATAGCATGTTATGTAATTTCTTTCTATAATGACTGCACTCATCATATCCTGTTAAAACTATCTTAATTCGTTTTTTAATAGTCCATATGGTAAAAATATGAGTATGTCCCATACTTGTGAATTGACTTTTTGTCTATTTCATATAAAAACTAGAAATATGTCTATAGGACATGAATGCCCTGCCAAGGGTATATTAGTAATACAACATTTTAACACAAATTTAGAAAAGTGAGGTCAAAGGAAAGGTCAAGGTGAAAAAATATTGATGCAGTTGAATAGCTTACATCAGTATGTATCAGCGTATGAAGTTTGACACTAATTTAAGAAAAGTGAGGTCAAAGGTCAAAGAAAGGTCAAGGTCAAAAATTGTTGATGCAGTTGAAAAGGTTACATCAGTATGTATTAGCATATGAAGTTTGATAAAAATATTATGAATGGTTCCTTTAAAACTGAGCTAAACACTAATTTAAGAAAAGTGAGGTCAAGGTCAAAGGAAAGGTCAAGGTAAAAAAATATTGATGCAGTTGAATAGCTCTCATCAGTATGTATCAGCATATGAAGTTTGACACTAATTTAAGAAAAGTGAGGTCAAGGTCAAAAAATGTTGATGCAGTTGAAAAGGTTACATCAGTGTGTATTAGCATATGAAGTTTGATAAAAATATTATGAATGGTTTCTTTAAAACTGAGCTGAACACTAATTTAAGAAAAGTGAGGTCAAGGTCAAAGGAAAGGACAAGGTAAAAAAAATATTGATGCAGTTGAATAGCTCTCAGCAGCATGTATAACCATATGAAATTTGACTCTAGTGTAAGAAAAGTGAGGTCAAGGTCAAAGGAAAGGTCAAGGTAAAAAAATGTTGATGCAGTTGAATAGCTCCAATCAGTATGTATCAGCATATGAAGTTTGATAACACTTTCTTGAATGGTATCTTTAAAACTGAGCTAAAAACTTATTTAAGAAAAGTTAGGTCAAGGTCAAAGGAAAGGTCAACATAAAATATATTGATGCAGTTGAATAGCTCTCATCAGAATGTATCAGCATATGAAGTTAGTTAAAAATATCTTGAATGGTTTCATTAAAACTGAGCTAAACACTCATTTAAGAAAAGTGAGGTCAAGGTCAAAAGAAACATGTTGATACAGTTGAATAGCTCCCATCAGTATGTATCAACTTACGAAGTTTGATTACACTATCTTGATTGGTATCTTTAAAACTGAGCTAAACACTAATTTAAGAAAAGTGAGGTCAAGGTCAAAGGAAAGGTCAAGGTCAAAAAACATTGATGCAGTTGCATAGCTCTCATCAATATCTATCAGCATATGAAGTTTGATAAAAATATCTTGGATAGTTTCTTTGAAACTAAGCTTTGAACAGAGCTAAACGCAAAGTGACGGAAGGACAGATGGAAGGACAGAAGGATGTAAGGATGGAAGATGGACATGACAAACACTATATGCCCTGGCCATATTCATGGCGGGGCATAAAAAAAATCATACTTCATTCCTTGAAAAAAAAAGCACTTAAACATGATATAGCTACTCAAGCTATACAACTTAATCAGGAAATTGTTAATAATTTAATCGTGCCACAGCTAGCAGAAGGCTAAATTCCCACATTTTTGGTGTCTCTCTTTCTTTCTCTTTTTTTCTCTCTCTTTTATTTTTTGAACTAAGATGATTATTTGTGTTCAAAAAACTGATATCTCATTATTTTAGTAAATTTACAGGCTTTTAAAACCTAATGGTGTTAATTAGCACTTGTGATTTAAGTATGATTTTCATAAATTGTGAACGAATGCAGACATATAAACACGTCTGGCATAATCTTTTGATTTAGCTATATAGCTTGATTAAGCTAATTTATTACATTATTTTTTCTAAAATATGCAATTTTGTCAGCATGTAAGAAATTTGGCACTTAGGAGCAGTGAAAGTTTTCAACTTTGAACTCTTCTGAATACAATGGATGAAGTATCACTCACCAAATTGTGTCTCCTTAAGAGACTTTGTACTCAAGGTTCTATATAAAGCTATTGATTTGTGACCACAAAGTTCTTCTTGAATGAAATTATAAAGGACGTCAATTGTGGTCAACAAGACGATTGGTAATAATTTCAGCACAATGTGAAGTAGTCGTACTTAGCCATGCATCACAGCACACGAGGTGATAAACAGTTACAAGAACAATGGAATCACCAGAGACCTATATACCATACAATAGTATATAGGTCCCTGGAATTACATCTTTTTCCTAAAAGTGTTCAAAAGCAGCAATGCTTAAAAATGGTGTGCCTTTCCAAATGTCCATAGTGCAAATATCTTGCGACTTTTTTGTATATTTCCTATAAAACCATATGTGAAAATCTGGATTAAAATAACTTTATCAAGCTATTCTTAAAAGCTTCATAGAGCTTTATAGCCAATTCAAACTAGCTAAATCAAGAGATTATGTTGGACCTGCATGAATCAGTGTGAATCATGGTAGACTGAAGTACATATCAAAAATTTACCCATAGACATTTTCTCCTGGATTGTATTCACCCTTATTTGTCCTTAAAATAATTTCGTTCATGGCACCCTGCAGTAAAACCTGCTGCAGAAGCAAACATCAACATGCTAGCACACCAACAAGAACCGAGTCACAGTCATAACAAAAACTTCCGGTAAGTAAACTAGTTATCATTTTGTATCGATTTAGACAAGGTAAAATCTAGAGGAGTTTATAGGGACCAGCAAAATATTCCGAACATAAATCTTAGTCATTAAAATGTTTATTAGATAGAAGCTTATAAAAGAGGACTAGAAGAGGTAAAATAACTGTGAACAACTTTCATGTTTGGTTTGTATTTTTTTAGACGAGGGAAATCGAGACATTGTTTGGTAAATATGCAGGATTTGGTGGCACCCGTAACCCACATCAAATTTGATCTGGAAGTAGCCCTTGAACAGCAACTGGGATCACAGCCACTTCCATTCCCCGGGATGGACAGTGAGTAATTTACTTTTCTCACGTTTGCTGTTCATTTTAACTGTTAATCAAGTTATTCTGTGTTAAGACTGTCCGAAGCTTTGAAATGCATTCAAAACAAAATATTGAATTGCGAGCTTGATTTTCATTTTTATTCATGTGTTAATATAGTTAGAATAATCTAACTGTGTCTCGGGACAAGCCCTCACCACAGTTAGAATACGTCACATATAGTTCCAATGTAGCAAATCCAGATCCGCTCCGAAATGATTTTAAATGAACAAAGGGGGCTGCGCTGAAAATAAGTACCAAATTGATCAAAACAAACCTTTTTATGATTGTATATGGCTTTTATCCTCAAAAGTAATCCATTTAATGAAGAAAATTCAACTCATTTTCGCAGCGTTTTTTCTCGCTTTAAATTTACACGCCATGTTGACATTTGGAACTCTCTTGATTGTTAGTAGTCAGTGCACCAAGTTAGAGTTATCACCCATGTTTATTTTGCTACATTGCCAATACATGGAAGGAATTCTATCATTAAACAGAATCCATAGGACAATATCAATTTAATGATAGAAGTTCTATCTAATGTTAATATAGCTGCAGAACTTTAGCTCTCTGCTTGAGAAAATTCGGACAAATAAAGCAGAGAGCTACAGATCCAAGTGTTGCAAACACATTCAATTTACTCTGCAGCTTTTTTGTCACTTGCTAAAATGGGTATTATTTCTTGTATTTTAAGCTTTCCCCTGCTTTAAGCTTTCCCCTACTTTAAGAATGGATTCTGATAATTAAACAAATATGTTTTACTCCTATTTTTGATGCTTTATTTACCTTTCAACTAGTGTTGTACCGATAATCAGAGAACATGAAAAAATGCTACCGATTCCGATGATTGATTATTATTTTGCATAATCGATCATGGGAAACATACTGTTTATAAAATTCATTCCGGAATTATCTATTCCCGGTTTAAAATTTATTTCTTCATACTGAAAGAAATTAGCATCTGCACCTGTTATGTTAATGCTAACAGTGCCTGATTAATTGTTCATATGGACATGCATCACATCATTCACCATACTTAATATGTATTACGAAGCCAACTGGCACAAAGTAGAGGTGATTAAGAAACAGAAGGTGCATATAATATTATAGAAAGAAGCAAAACAACAAAGAAAGCAATATAATATGTTGATGGTGCGACCGTTGGGGCGAGCGCATTGTTCACTCACTTAGATCCACCTCTTCAAATTGCACGAGACATTTGGAACGTCTAGACTGTGACATCACATGACGTCGTATGTTAGCTGGATTTCCATACACTAAGTTTGAAAAGTGCAAAAATTTTAACAAAGAACTTTTAATCTACTATAATATGTATGCAATATCCTTTAAATTAAGATGAGTTTATTTTTTTGTGAATTTTGAGTTGTTGTTACCGCGCGAATGAAGTTAGCAGCGAGAACAACATATGATGCATTGTGGGTCCAGAATTACTGTGGAAAAATTCTATTTGAATAAATGTGCATTAGTCCAAATTTTCTCTTCGCCATGCGTTGTCAATAGCTCGCAGTGACGAGCAGCACTTTGCCTGGCTCGCTATAATATATTTTATATATTCATGTAAAAGAAATAATATGAAATACTTGTAATAGTCTGCTTTTATACAAAACTATGACATCCAATTATATTGGTAAAATGGCATCGGAAGGAGGAACCTATTCCAACTGATGATCGATTATGAAAATTAACCAATGTCCCATCACTCCTTTCAACGGTCCCAAACAGCCCATTATGGTTTTGGAATTGTTGTTTTAAAATATTCCAATGTCTATGTTGGGGGTCATTCGAAAAAAGTCTTTCAAAGAACATACACTTGCCAAGAAAATATAAATAAAAAATTCAGGAGGTTTAAATATTATGTATATTGTCTATAAGGAAGACATGATGTATGTAAAAGGAAAGGAGATAAAGAAAACTTGGGTGTGTTATTTGAGGATGACACCAACATGGACGTTGGAATGTATTTTTTTTAACTGATACTCCAAAACCATGTATGGCTGTTAGGTACCATTGAAAGGTAAATATTTAGTATGAGGACTAGGACTAAAATATATGGTTAATTATCGAATACCATTCTTAAAGCGCAATCTGATTAAAATCAGATCCTCAATGCTCCTTTTTTAACCTCGTAAGTGACATATTGTTAAAAAAGGAGCATCGAAGATCTGATTTTAATCAGATTGTCTTAAAGTGGGGAAAAGCATAAAATACAAGAAATAATGCCCAAAGCAAGGGACAAAAAAAGCAGCAGCGTAAATCAAAGGTTTTTACAATGCTTGGATCTGTAGGTCTCTGTTTTTAATTATCTGTCCGAATTTTCTCAAGCAGAGAGCTACAGTTCTGCAGCTAGTGTTAATAGCTATACCAAGCGCAGCCAGTTCTCACGACAACACCTGGGCAGAAAGAAAATTTGGACTTTTGCACATTGATCTAAATTATTTTTTTCTGCAGTAACCTACAGACCCACAATCTTTGCGAATAGCATCTCGCAGCAAATTACGTTCTCACTGTAAAAATAAAAGCTCACCCAAAAAATAAACTCTCTGTGATTTAATGGATATTGTAGATACATAGTAAATTAAAATGTATTTTATTAAAATTTGCACTTTTCAGACTGCACCTAACACATGTAACATACGACTTCATGTGTCATCAGAGACTAGATATTGCTAATGTCCGTGCGATTTGGAGAGGCAGATCTAAACTAAAATTGAATTGGTAACTGCACTTGCCCTAATGGTTGCACTGTCAACATAATATGTTGACGTTGAGACCGTTGGGGCCAGGGTAGTTGTGTTTTATTGGATAGCCTAAACTCTGCACTTTTAACTCAGATCTGCCTTTTCAAACTGCACAAGACATTTGAAAGGTATAGACTGTGATGTCACATGACGTCATATGTTTGTTGATATTTCCATAATAAAGTCTGAAATAGGCAGTTCTTTAGCAAAGAATAAATATTATTGACTTTTTGTTATTTAAATGAACTCATAATAATGAATTTATCCTAGTTTTAGGACTAGGTGTTGGCCATTTTATCAGTATTTGTGAAATAGTGTAAAAATAAGCAAAATTTTAGACTTGAGCTTCACTCGCAAGTGAATGCAACACAATTTTTCACTAGTTAGCCAGTACTGCACCCAAATTTGTCTTGACCTGGCGAAAATATCAATAACAACTGAGGAAACTCAACTCTGATGTCATGTCATGGATTCTTGGTAAATTGAATTATGGCAGAAATCTGAATAAAGTATCAATATAGAGCTGTAGAGCTACTGCATGGGGTTGAATCTCCCAAAACTTAATACAGAGTTGAGTTGGCTTTTGTGAGTTTCAAGTGTTGATCATCTTCTCTTTTTTTTTTTTTTTTTTTTTTTTTTTGCTGACTTGTGAAAAATTGCATTAAGTCCTGTTACATTTCTCACTTCTTGAGCAAAGCTCAAAGCTAGGAATTTGTTTATTTTGACTTTATTTCATGTATACTGATAAAATTGCTGACTCTTATGTCCTAGTGTACTTCAAATGTGCATGGGAAAAGTCCTAGAATTATTAGTATACAAAATATTTCATCATTATCTTGATGTAAAGACACATTTTAAGGTATTTTCCCCCTGTATCATAATCTGTTACAGTTGGAACCTCGGTTTCTCAAACGCTGATATCTCAAATACCATGGATATATGTCAAAGTGATTTTGAAGTCCCAACTGCTTGTTATTTAAGTATTTTACCCTCAAATATCTCAAAGTTTTTTCTCGGTCCGATGGAGTTCAAGATAATGAGGTTTGACTGCATATTAAAACGAAGCCATTACACATTTTTCCATAGCAAGATTCAGTTAGAAAATAAACTCCTCTTTAACATGTATCGATGTCCACAAAAAGATCTTTAATCACTGCATCAGACTCTTGACACATATAATAAATTCTATAATCACTTACATTGTATCAACAAACAGAATAGTTCCATATATATATATATATATATATATATATATATATATATATATATATATATATATATATATATATATATATATATATATATATTAAGCACAGAGAAATTCACTTTTATAAGGATCCCCACTTCCGCCCCCACCCAGGTTTGAACTCTCCACCTACGGAATCTGTCTCCTAGCAGTACAGGAACAGCTAAAAAAAAAAAAAACCTGTTCCATTGTATTGCATAATTTTAGAAATGCATAGAAAGAAAGTAGGATAAGGTTTAAATTTATATATTATAAATAAATCAATTACTATTCACACATGGTTTGTGATTCGGAACCTGAACTGATGTTTAGTTAAGGTGTATCTGATATTTCTGCATAAAATATTAAATTTCAATAAATAGGCTAGCCTGAACTCCGTGTTTTTTGAAGCAGTTATATGTCTTAATTTCAATAAAAAAAAAAATCAGTGATACAGGAAATTTGGAAACAACCCAAGTTGTTGGTCTTAATACAGTGTCACTTTGGTGTATATTGTCATTTAAAATCAATGGTAGTTTGAAAGAATGCATACTTAATCACAACAGTTTGAGTAGGAACTATGGCATTATTCTCTATTTCACTTTAAATACAGAACCAAAGAGTTAAATGAGCAGGATGAAGTTGATAGAAAATAAAGTTGTATAAGAATTTATAATCATGTTAGTTGCACTTTGTAATATTTCTCTTTTTTTAACAGAGTCTGGAGCAGCAATATGTACATTTTACCTCAGCAATGTTTGTAGCAAAGGGACAGCCTGTCCCTATAGGCATGTTAAAGGAGACAGAACGGTGGTGTGTAAACATTGGCTCAGAGGTCTCTGTAAGAAGGGCGATGACTGTGAATTTCTACATGAGTTTGACATGAGTAAAATGCCTGAGTGCTACTTCTTCTCAAAGTTTGGTAATGTTCTTCACATTATTTTATAGTTATTATCAGGGGCTAATATATGTCTGTCCATAATATGTTTTAAATGATTAGATTACTGTTAAAAAGAAATGTCAATTTTTTATCAATGCATGAACATTGCTTTTAAGCTGAGCTGGTCCCAAAATGCTTTGATATTGCCTAAAATCTTAAGTAAAACACAATAGTAAACAATAAAAATTCTTCGTTTTCAGGTGAATGTAACAATAAAGAGTGTCCTTTCCTTCACATTGACCCCTCTGCCAAAATTAAAGACTGTCCCTGGTATGACAGAGGATTCTGCAGACATGGTATGTGTTAAATTTTTTGCAGAAGTGAATTGTATGTAGAAAGATGCACCATGTACATAATCTAATGACTTTGTTAACATAGGTTAAATGCAGATCAAGCCAAAGATTCTTTGTCAATTATAAGTCAACACGAAAATTTCTTTTCTTTTGCTGCATTAAGATAACCAAGGTCTTACAGATAGTGCTGTGATATCAGCAGTCATCACCACTCAGACTCATTTCAACATACCTGTGGTGTTAAACACATCAGCATTTCAGATACTTAAGTTCAACTGTGTCAGTTATATGTAAATTATATGTATGTTTCAGGACCAAACTGTAAAAATCGTCATGTCAGAAGAGTTTTGTGTCAGTGTTATCTCAATGGTTTCTGCCTTGAGGGACCTAAATGTAAATATATGCAGTGAGTATCAGATAATTTTACCTAAAAAAAAATTCACCATCCATATATCTTTCTTAGGTTATTGTATTAAATACAAATAAACATAATACATTTGCCGTAGTTTGATCCAATATTGTAATGTTTTAAAAAGCATAAATAAATAAAAATGAAATTCATTAAGGCTTCATACAAACTGTTCCTTCTCATTCATTTCATTTCAAATGATTTATGATAGTAATGATTTCATGTTTCATCTGGTGGTATCAAATGATATTTTTTATATTTTACAGTCCCAGTTTTGATATTCCTGTCTTTGAACAGCAGACAACCAGCAAGAAAGTTAATATAGTGTGTCATTTCTGCTCAGAACCTGGACACAAAGCACTGAGCTGTCCAAAGATGAAAACTGATACAGATAAAATAGTAAGTTTTAAACATAAAAGAAGTGTATTTTTTATGTTCTGTACATATGAAAGAACACACATACACACACCAAGACACATTTGAACATACATGTAACGGTACATATATAATTTATGTAGAGAGAGTGAGAATTACCAGTACACATGAATTTTACGTGACATGTATTTTACAAGTGTTTTACATGCACATGTATTTTAACAAGGGTTTTTCACCCCCAATTTAAACGCAACCATTTCATCCATTTTGAGAAGAATTTTACATTGAAATCTTAAAATATAGTTCATTTTTGGCTGTGATTTTGGGTCAAGAAAAACACTGTTTACATGTGCTTGAACAAATTGAAGGCTGTTTGACAATAAAATGCAGTTATATACATGTACTTAGAATGCATAGTTTTGAAATGAGCCTACCCCCCCCCCATATCACTTTTATTCAATAAATATATCTCAGTATTTCACTGTTGAAAATGTAATAATATTCTGTATCTAACTTCATTGTGCAAAAATCCCTTGTCGGCTTTAAGCCAAAGTCTGTAATCAATATCCACAAAATTTAAATACATAATTCTTGTAAACATTGAAGGAATTCATCTTAACTGCAGCTTAAAGCATAAAGGATTGCTAGCCAAATAACATATTGGTAAGAAAGTGAAGATGGTCAGTTATATAATGTTCTGATTCTATATTTAGAATATTATCCAGACCACGATGGACAGTACTTCCCAGTCCGGGACTGGTCACAATGTGTATCTTCCATACAAACCACTGACCAGTCACGATAACTATGTAGATCCAAGACGACCACTTGACCAAGTTACTTGCTTCAAGGTACTGTATCTGATACTTTTAAATACTTTTTTTTCTATATATATGGCTGAAAGTACATATTTTATGGATATATTTGGTATTGAATTCATTACAAATTTTGTTTTTTTAAGTAACTTATTTGCACAAATTGATTATTAAAAAAATGTTTCATGAATTTTCAGTGTGGAGAGAAAGGCCATTATGCAAACAAGTGTCCAAAAGGCCATCTAGCATTTTTAGCCTCATCTTCTGGAAGTTGACCTTGCAAGAATTCCCTGGTAGCAAATACAACTGTCAATTTTGCAAAGAATTGAAAACTATTGTCCAAATTTTTTTCATTGCTACTGATTTTGTAATGAAAAGTTTTAATGTTAAACATTGAAAAGTAAAGGAATTGTTTGATTGCTTAAAATATTAAGAATGTATTTGATAAAAGAAAATATGTCCAAAGATGAAATGTTAAAGCATCTTCCATGGATTCTTTGAAAACAATCTGTTTTATATTGTTGAAATAGAAGTTTGTACTAATTGATGAGTTTCTTTTAATTATATTTATAGCTCACCAGAGCATTAAGTAGACTTATCTATTTATGAAGTGACCATGTCTGTGTGGTGTGTAAATGCTTTTATAATTAAGCAATAATTATTGATGAAAACATAATATGCAAGGAACCGCTAGCATATATACAGTACATACGTTTTATCGCAAAAAAAAAAAAAAAAAAAAAAAATCGAAAGACATAATGATACCATTTTCAACGTGTTCAGTCCAGATTGCTGCCTTAAGGAGGTTGGATCCTGCCATCAAAAGAAATGAGAATTTTTTATCAAGTATATTTTTAGAACTTATATACATAGCTTTATTAAAAATCAAAACAAAAAATGGGGGTCAATGCACTTCTTTTGGCACTACAGAGCATTTAGTTTGACCTTTTTGCACTGTAAATACGTCTTACACATAAATCGATTTTTAAAGTTTTTACTCCAATAATTTTTGTTTAAATAAGTAATGGGGACAAAAACAGTCTTATTTCATCTTAAATAGACACATTAAAATTTGTGACAACGAAGAAATTTTCAAATTACTCCGCATGTTCAATTATTTGACCTTTTTGCACTCAAACATTTTCATTTTTCTGGCATTAAATATTTAACAAGCAAAAAAAATCATTTGAAAGTAATGACATTTTACTGAATTTAAGAAGAATGGTTAAAAATATCTTATATATTCAGAAAAGAACATCAAAAGTGGGGGTCTGTGATGTTAATTTTTAGATATTACTAAAACAGTGCTAATTTTAAGCTTAAATAAGGGCTATTTTTTTCTTCATGTTCACAATATATTTGCTATATTTATCATATATGATGATAGAATTCATGACAGTTTATTTAATAGATAATTTAGGATCAATATAAAGCAGTCCACTGCACAAAATAACTATGTGTGCAGACTGCATGTAAAAATAGGAATCCAAACTTAGCATACTTTAAATACTTTGAAAGAGAAAAAATGATCATTTTCTTCTAAAAAAAAAAAACCTTCCGCCACAAAATATAGTTCCTCACTTAATGCTTTTAGTATGGAATTTAATCATGGAGTTTTAACTGAATATAGTTAAATTGGCATTGTAGAATCCAAATTTATTGTAAGAATTAAAACATTATGCAGAATTTTTGAAATATAGGTTAAGATAAAAATTTGCTCAAAAGCTCAGGAGCGTACCTCGTTAACTGCACTGTGCACCCTTCTCGTTCCAGTTATAACACATTTGTCAAAGTAATGCTCATAAATTATAATTATTAAGTTGTTAAAATAAATCCCGACAACAAAAGAGAGATTTATTTTTTAACACATGTCATAATATCATTTTAAAATTATACCGTTTCTGTAATCTTTTGTTTTACAGTATGTCTATGAAACTTAGAAGATCGTGTCAGGATGTTGATGAATCTGCCAAACTATATAAACAATGTCAATTTGAATGATGCTTGATACAATGCTTTACTTTATCTGTCAAAAAGAAAATAAATTTGCTCGCAGTCATTTGCGGCTACAGGCCGTGCATGACAACTTTCAGCAAGTCCATGATCAGTCAATTTATGATGTTGCATGCACACAGTAATATTCATTGCAGAATTTTTTCAGAAATGTACGCGTATACATGTATATTCATACTATATTTAAAAAAAAAACCTATTTAACAGATTTTAGGAAAGGAAAAGCTGTTCCATACCATATCATACCAGTTTTTTCTATAGGTGTAGTGTTTGTCCCACAGCTGTGACAGATTTTGTTTTATGACGTAAAACAGAAATTATTTAATTTTCACTTGAAAGTCGATGTGTACAGTATTCTACATTAGTTGGTTTTGACAGGTTTTATCAGGGACCTATATACTAACTATAGGTCCCTGGTTTTATAAAGAGACCTAATTTACTCTACAATTCAGTGAAGCTGAATTCATCAGAAGCTATTGTAAACTGACAGGAAACCTCATTTTACCAGCACTGTTCTTTAATACTTGTTATTGTCAAGAACTTATCTAATTAAGTCTCCAAGATCCAGTAAGCTGATGCGACGGCATCAATAAATTTACACAGAGAATATTAACATTATTACCGATCTGCGCGCGCATTTACTGGCAGTATGAAAAGGCGTCATCGATTCTCACATATTCGATGTTGTCACTTGGCGAAAAAATCTCAGGATTAGTCTTTATTTTGTCAATCCATCGTATATCCATGTACTGATAATATACTGGCCTGTTAAATTAATAATTGTCTCCAAGTAACACCTATCACTGTGAGACTAAAATAGGAGGGGGTTTTCAAGGGAAATGAATTTAATAGAAATAGATAAACTAAGTCAGAAAAAAAGTAAGCCATCACTGTTGTACATCACTGAAGTTTCGTTTGTGTCTTGTGCTAAAAAAATATATTAAATAAAAATAAAAGAAAAGAAAAATGTAATTTGGATTCATAATCAGTAATAAGAATGGCTTTATATGAAATCCTGATCCACTGTTGTCAGATCTTATACATGTACAAGAAATTTAACTTTGTAAATAGAACTCTGCATGGTTTCTGTTTACATGTTAAGTGTAACAAGTATAGAACACACTACTATATAATCATATTACATCCAGTAATCAGTGGATAACTTTGTATCCATTGATGATACATTTTTGTTAATCATCATTGTTATCATTTTTTATCGGTATTAGATGACACTGTTATCCATAAATGATTTGAATCATTAATGGTTATCTTATAGAATGATACATTGTAGGATGATATTGTTAATGATACAGTCATCCTTTACGACATCCCTCAGAAAGAACCATTATAGGCGGTAGCAAAAACTGAACGAGTTTTAAAAGCAACTCTCTGTTGTATCATTTCAAAAACAATTTTCTGGTGATTAGCTTTTATTTTAAAGCAAATCTAGTTTTTATTTCATCTCATCACCGCAATGTGTAACTAGTGCTGAAATGATCCTGACATTTTTCTGCCTTTATTTCTGTTTTCTGGATTAATTGAAATTTGCGTACGTATTTCCTTACACGGAGAAATCTTTACTTTGTTTATACAGAGAGTCGTTATTTAAAAAAAGTCAGTTGAAAGCATTTGTCTACTAAAAACAAAACAAAACTACAAACATTCTTTTTCTTCGTCAATGGAGCGAAAAACCACTTAAAAGGCGGATGGAAAGAGAGCTAGAGTTGCAGTCATTGAAAGTAACACTTACAATACTACAACGTCAAAGATAACAATGGATGCCCTGTTGCTTTTGCGCGGATCGATCTAGTTTAGAAATCACGCAGTCGTCTTCTCTGAGATCGATCGACTGGATGTATTCATATTCCATTAGTTGTGTTAGCTTTTTCTGTCTTTATGACTTGATTGCTACATTCAAGATTATTTAATTGAAAACATTGACGGTAAGTTCTCTTTTTTTCATTGCATACTGGTGTAGAAGACAAGATTTTTGAGTGTTTTTGATGTTTGTGACAGGACAATGAAAAAAAAAATGTTTATGTGGAAAACTTGTGACAGGAAAGATTTTCAGCAGAGGTTGTGCATAAGGATAAGCTATAATGAAAAAAAATAATTAAAATATTAGAAATGTTTAATATTTTGCTTAAAAATGTGGATTTTCTTTCTAATATCTGCGATCATTTTTTTAAAAATAATTTTTCAATATATATTTGCTATTCAGTCTTCAAAACCATACGAAAGAACAAAACAACTCACTCAGTAAAATTATTTAGGAAATAAATCTTTACATGTATCAATATAAATAAAGAGAGAAAAAATTCTACAGTTAAGTTGAGCATGAGTTATCTTCAATCAGTTTATATTGATCACACTTTCGTTGAAGTATTTCAAATGTGACACAACACCGCAACATATTGACATATCAATATTTCAAACTTTTCCTCACGGATATATTTAAGGACACGAATGAGGCTTGTATTAGACTGATTTGGTAAGGCTAACTTTAGTAATAAGCACTTAATAGCGCTTAACAAGATTATCATGATGTCTCATTGCGATTTCCGCGTTTTTGAAACTATTGTTTCCTTCTCTTTATAACTTTTGTAATTTGCTAGCAGTGGTTTTTGTATCATTTTTCTTTAAATATAAAGGGCAGCTAGCGTGCATGAAAATATTTCCCGATCTCCTTTGTTTTATGATTTTTGATCACCAGAAAGAGTTTAAAATGACTGGCTTGAAACCTATAGCTAATAATATTAATTGGATTGAAAATTTTAACACTGATATTGATGAAAGCGACCATCACATCAGTGGTTCTGATGAACACAAAGAGAATGAACCAGGAAATCTTATCACAACGCCCGGAACATTGACCTCAATCGGGAGTCAGCTTAATATATTCATTATTTATATATATATTTGTCAGCTGTATCACATGTTTACCCATTTATCCTGTGGATATCACTCATTGGATATTTTTTTCATATACCACTGTTGTGACATCATAATAGTTTTTGCGTGAAAGTGGTGAAGTTAAATTATTTGAATTCATATATCAAACAGCGTAAAACATTGATAGGTATGTATAGAACATGAAATATTAGAATTTCCCATGATGTTTGGTTGGATATGATTTCGTGTGGTTTTTTGTATCCCCTCGCCAAGGCTCGAGGATAAACCCACACAACTCGTATATATAAAAAAATCACACCCAACCACAAATAATGGGAGATCCTATATTTGTCTGTTGAGTCCTAGAATACCATATGAATAATTTCATCATTTCTTTGTTACATATAATTGTGACAACGATCATATACAATTAAAACATGTAAGCCGGAAGGCCCGTAGTTCGATTGGGGGAGGGGGTGCACTCACTTTTTCTGAGAAAAGTGTTTTTATGTAGTACTGCAGTATTACCATGTAAATTTTCATTTGGAATCTGATTGCCCCCCTCCCCCCCTTGTTTTGTTGCTGTACGGTCGAATACTGGCAAACTCCAGCATTTGAAAAAAAGTTTCGAAAAGTTAGAGAAAGGCCCATCCCACCCCTCAGCTCTTAATAAATTGTTCATAATATCTGTATTTGTAGACCAGAAATAAACCCGGGAATGGTTCACACTATATGGTATACTTCCAAAAAAAATATTTAAAACTGATTATCAGAACGATGGCTCGTATAAGTTAAGATGTATCCTATTTCCAGCTTCCTAAAGATACAAATTATGAACACTATACTGCAAAATCAGGATGTACAACTGATTATCAGACATAAGTCGCTTTTGTTGGACCCTTTTCCAGTTTCCTAAAAAAAAGTATTTGGTTGCAATGCGTCATACAAGGATGATACTTATAATAAAAGATATCACCAGAAAGCAACAAGCAATTGAAAGAATTCTTATATTTAGACAAACAGAAGAGCACTCTTGTGAAGAAAACTCTCCTGATATGAATTTGTTGTGAAAGTCAAAATATACAATTAGGAAGAAATAAAATGTTTGTTTTAATAGTCTTTTACGGGCGTCCATGAGACATCATCCAAGATGGAGATGGAAAGTCTGGAGTCAGGCAAAACAGGGAAACTCTACACAGAAGAGGCAGATCAGGAACAGTGAGTATACTGGGTAGAATTTATCATATAACAAGACAGGGAAATTCTACACAGAGGAGGCATATAAGGGACACTGAGTATACCGATAAAATTTATTATATATTAAGGATGTATCTGTTATATGATTTCAAATAAAGCATGCAAAGTGCACAACCTAATTTTTTTGTTTTTCTGGTTTGTTAATGATAATCACATGAAATTTGGGAGGAAATTGCGTTACATTATCTCGTCTGCTTGGCCTTCATGGGTTGAAAATATAAAAGTACAATTTTATAAACTGGTATTTAAAGGGGCCTGGACACAGTTGCATTGTTTACAATTTTAAATGTATATTTTTATTCAGAAATAACTTCATTTTAAGGGTTTGGTTTTGTGTTCATCCAAGTGAAACTCGTACGAAATAAAAATCTCAATATCTTAATAAATACTTCTTGCTTACTCTTGAAAACTGACCTATGACACCTTCCATGGGAAAGCTGTCTTGATATGTATGCAGTTTGATTGTCACTTGCAGTGTCATGCAGCAAATAATGTGCATATTACACTTGCAGGACTGCACAGCTACAGGTCTAACAAAACAATAACATGACATTTGTTGTTTATGTGCAGATTGTTGAACGTCATGGGTACAACTATTTGTTTCGTTCCTAACAATTCTGTGCGTACTTTTTCCATAACTGTCTGTTTTTCTTCAACTAGGCATGTCCGCCATGCGAAATCTGGGGGCTGCCATTCCGGTATTGAAACCAACTGACTATTTCTGTAATCTGATGTCTCTAGTACCCCGATTACACAAAGCAATTAGAGAGATATTTCGTAAAACATCTCCAGCTATTAGAATGTTTCGATCTAAATGTTTAATATTGTTTATTATAAAAGTAACATCGATGTTTACGTCATATCAGGGAATGCTCCGTCTTCGATTTTACAATGGACAGATAAATTAATACGCGCCCAGTTTTAGCAGTTCCGACTGAATTTAACGTCTGTTATTTCTTTTGCAGGTAAGGATATTAATTACCTTTTATCAAATAAGCATATTAATCCTACAAATGTAGGACAATGTCATATAATATTGAAAAATATTGCACGAAAATTAAGAACTATAATCACTCAGCGTAGTTTATTTCTGAGGTCTGTCATGCGATATTCGGCTAAAGTGAAAGTAGGAGCTGGTAAGTCGATTTGTTGTGTTTATTGTGATTTATGAGCCTTATCTCAGAAATACGATATAACTCCTAGTATCAGTAATACATTTTGAGTATGACAACGCCTGCGATCTGATGCACATCAATTTTAAAAAGGTTAAACGTTATACAAAGAATCTGAGAATTTCCACGTGTTTCTTGCAGACCACAATTTGGTAGCGGGCAATATTTAAGGTTCCTCTAATAAATATTACTATGTTTCAAAATACTAAAAGTATTCGTTATTGTATAAAAATATAGTTCAGTCAAAAACATGGTTTCAAATATTATGAGTAGAGTAAAGAACTAAATTTTGTTTTCATTAATGAGCGATTTTTGTGTAAGATCCTTCATTGAGCCTCAGACACACCAAGTTAAATGTCCAATGACGGCTAAGTGAAGTGGCTCTACGTAGTACACATATATGGTAAATCAGATGTGTTATATGTAGATCAAAATTTTGATATTCAAATTTTATTGCTTTTTTGTTTTTACTTTTTGTAAAAGAGATGCAAGTATTATTAATTATTTATATAAATAATTTTCACATAAGTTTGTACTGTATACAAACCATCATTTTGGACTTGGTCCTTCTGATTTGCAGATTAGTGCAGTATATGTAGTTCTCATGGGGAAAAGTAAATTAAACGATAAAAATTTTCAAGGATGTCAACTTAATTTGCTTATTGCTTGATATGTAAATTGTTCAATGTTCATCAATTTGATGAAGAGTGCAGCAAAATTGAAAAATAGCTTTTTTTTTTAAAGATGAAAATTGCATAAAGTATTAATAATTAATATTCTCTAGTTGAAATGGTTAAGATTGAAAACTTGAATTTCTGCAGCTGCATTGGTTTCATCAAAAAGGGAGTATAATAAGGGGGTCTTACATGTACCTGATCTTAAGTTACCATTGAGCATGCTGAATCAAATGCTACCAATTAAGCATGCATGTTTATTTTTAATTGAATGTTCATTTTATGAAAGTTTTTCATATGCTCAATCAGAATTAGGTTGTTGGTTGCACTTGTAAGGAAGAGATAAGGTGCTGGGGGTGGGGTGGGGGGTAAACCTTGGTATTGATCCATAAATACCATAATATTCTTGTAGAAACCTCTAAGATTTTTCTATAAAATTGAAGAAAAAAAATGAATGTACATGTAGCCACCACTTTATCTCAAAGGTTATTATTATTATATTTTTTTGAGGACCTGCATTTTAATGGTACAGGCAAACCTTGTTATTTCTATCCTGATGGGACCAATAAAAAAAATCAAGAAATCTGGTATAGTTTGACACATTGAGGTTAAAATTATGCTTAAAGAAAAAAATGGAAGAGACTTTCAATGAAATATGAAGATAACAAACAATAATCAAATTCAAATTCACATAATTTTGAGAGATGGAAGCAAAACTCTATTCTCATAATGTCTCATAGAAAAAAAGTTTTATCGGACACAGTTTCAGGAAATAAATACCATTCAGTTAAAACACTGACACCCTTCAACATGTTCAACAAAGATTAATATTAATATCTAGATTTAAAAGAATTGTTTTTGAACTTTTTTCCTAAAATTTATTATAACTATGTTTACCATGTTTACAGAATGCCTTGTTTCACAAAAAAGAACACTGTTGACAGATATTTTCTCTGGACTGTCAATTTCTGCATTTCATAATCATGTGATACCTGTGTTGGAGCCCTCCCAAAAACCTCCCCTGTAAAGTAAGTTTTATATCCCAATGAAATGATTCTGTAAATTTAATAGACATGTGTATAAGGGTATAAGGTAGGTGTCATAATCACAGTGAGCTGACTAGTCATTTTCATTTTGTATAATTGTATTCAGATGTTATTCTATGTGTACAGAATGAAAGAATGTAAAATTTTTATGATGAGAAATATATATGCGGTTGGATGAAAAGAAAGATTTTGTTTAAGTGAATGTTGTGTATGTGTCCATCACATTGTCTCAAGCCATGGTTGGAGTCCGCCTACAGTTCTCTCCTACCCGAGGCTGCTTGAGTGAATTAAGTATCGTTATCATGAATAATCAAACCTAATATGTGTGATGTCACGTTATAACCCAATAAAAGTAATTGTTTATATTGCAGTTGACTTTAACGATAAAAAAACAACTGTTAGGTAAACAGTGACTGAAAAAAGGAAGTCACATCAGAGGTTATTTTTAAATAATTGAAAACTTCAATCTCTTTTGGAAGGAACTGTTTTTGATCATCTTCTTGTAGCTTACTAACACACATGTCATCATATAAGGTTTTTAAAATTCTGCCATCAAATCCTTACCTTGTCATTTAACCTTCAGATTTTGTACTTGTTTGCTTTATTTCATTATGATCTTGTATGCTTGTCTCATCTACTTCCCAAGGCAAGATGACATGACCATCACTTGGGTTTACCTTAATTGATGTTATTTATGTTTGACCTCTTTGTATACAGATTAGACTCATTTATCTCTATATGGATTAAACTACTCTGATCTACACTAATTGTAAATTAAAATAAGATATATTCAGTCCAACAATCAGTGTTAACCAACATTTACAATGTGACCATCATTGCTGAGGGATGTGTAGCCTTTGACCCTGAAATGTACATGTCTGTCTTTGCATACTTTTTACTTAGTCATGATGTAAAGATTTAACTTTCAATTCAAGTTCCCTCTTTGAGAGTGATCAACAGTATTGTTTTTTTAGTGGTATGTTATAAATTATTTATATTTAATATTTTACAGATTTCAAAGTCAAGGAGATCATTCAAATGACAGAGGGTTTGGTCCATGTTGGTTTGTCTCAACAGTTAATCTTTTGGAAAGCAGTGTTGGAGAAAATATCAGCAACATGTGAAGACTGTGATTTAGTTTCATATGATATGACTAAAGAAAGTTAATATTTTTGATTTCATGGTTGTATGAACAAATGCTATGAACTTTCCAAACATCATTTTAAAAAAAAGTTAATATGATGACCAAACAAAAATACATATTAATTTGAACTTTCCACGAGTTTACAATGAAGAACATTTTGGGATCTTGATACAGGATATTATAATAGTGTTTTATCTAATTTATTCATATTGTTTAGTGCATTAAATGCAAAAAAATGTTTTAAAGTCACTCTTGTGAAACCCATGCTAAGAACACAGGTCTCAAATATCTTAGAGAGTTATATTAGAGTTATATTGTTAGAATTGAAGCTTATTTATAAAATTATACCTTATATCTTTAAAGAAAGTTTCACAAAAAATAGTCAAACATATACTGGTTAACATATTAAAAGAAATATAATATCCTGAAAGTGATTAAGAATAAAAAAAGTTCATTTATCATCCTTTTCTTTTGTTCTTCTTGGTGACTTTTTTTACAATAATCAAAGACATTTACATTTTAGCTCATCTGAGCAGAGGCTCTATTGAACTTTTCTGATCAAAGAGTCTCTGGTATCTGTCCATCTGTCATCCATAAAAATTAAACCCTGAAATAGGGGTATCAAAGTTTGACATGGGAATAGATAGGAAAAAATCATCCTTTAATGAACAACAAGGTAATGATTTACTCATAATGTATGCAAGCATCCTCAAGTAGTGAAGATTCAAGTTGGTCAAAATCATTTGCCAGACTTATTATTATAATAATATTAAAATATTCCCTATTTGTATTTTTTCATTTTTTTTCTTCAAATAAATCTGAGATCAGATTTTATATATAAATTGGTAAATGCATGTATACATGTGAAAAAAAAAACTTTAGGAAACATATGAGCCATGTTAGCCATATTGATAATGAAATATCCTCATGTTGTGGAATCAGTTTTGGATTAGACATGGCCTTATGACCCAAGGTGGGGCCACAATATTGGCTCAAATTTGTTTTTATGAGAATTAAGGGGGATAAGAATGTCTTAGAAATCTGAAGAACACCAAGGTAACTCAAGTGAATGTTGTGGGCCAGGCCTCTTATTTAAATTGCCCACTTTCATTATCCCTGCAGATTTTTAACATCTTATTTGGCATATTTTTTAAGGAGAAAATAATTTTTCTAACATTAATTTCACTGTGTTTTGTACACACCATAGAGTAATATTTTAGATACATCTGGGCTTTCATATAAAGTGCTATTTTTAGATCAACAGTGAGTCTCTTTAATTCTATTTTTAACACATTGCCATGTGGTTGGGACTACTTTCATGGCTAACATTTTCTTGTTTAACAAACAAGTATGCATTTAAAGAAATGTACCTATTGTAGTGAGTTTACATTTAAATCAAAGGTTCTTCACAAATAGTTGTAGCCACTTAATTGGTTTAACTATTTCATATTTTTTTGGATTTTTTGGTGCACTACTAAAACCTGTGGCTGCGCAGTCCTGCAGGTGTATTGTGCACTTCATAGCTGCAAACTGCTGCAAGTGTCAATTAAGCTGCATATACCCAGAGATTGTTTTCATTATGAAGATGACATGGACCAGTTTTCAAGTGTTAGCAAGGCTTAATTTTTGAGATATTAAGGTTTTTATTTTTAGTGAGTCTCACTTGGCTGCACACAAAACCAAACCCTTAATCATTTGAACTTACATGAATATTCTAAGAATTCAATGACAATGACATTCTTCATAACATCACGTCAAACTCGTGTGTTTGTAAACAGGGCACGAACTCTGTTATTGTTAGTGTTTATGTTTTACCGGGTGTGTTCAATTTGCTTAGGGTAAAAACTTGGATAAAGTTTACTTTCTGAAAGTGCAAAAATATGTGTCAGTCAAATACGTCCCAAAATAGTTTTAATAATTTCCAGATAAAATAAGATTTTCTTAACACGCTTTTAATATATTTCGGTGTGAAATGCTCTATCAACATAATTCAGATTTAGAAAATATTAAGCTACACATCTGTGTCCCAGCCCCTTTAAATATTATGTAATATTTCTTAAGCAGACGTTTATTTTACTTTAGCTGAGTAGTGATTCATAGATTGTAACGAAATGACTTCAGACAGTCACATATACGTACTGTGTTTATCAGTGTAGCTATCTTGTATGCATCATCAACGGAATATGAGTAGACCGTCGAGTTGTCATTCTAGGCACACAAAAATAGCCAACAAACGAACCAAACAAAATCGAAAACAACTAAATACTGACTATGCACTTTAATCAAACGTATACTAAGCTCAAAAGCACTTAAAATAACTTTTTAAATACTTTTATATATGTGTGAACACCATGCAAATTGACTTTGGTTAAACTTTTATTCGCTGTCCTAATGGATATTTTAGTGCTAGGATAGAAAGTGATCTCTATACATGTATTCGTACAAGAACTTACCGGACAGTACTAGTGCACAGAGAGTGGAACAATGAAATATCTAGTGTACGTACCAAGGAACACATGTGTCGCCTGCTATGCAGCTTCATTAAAGATTAATAAATCTAAAGGTGCTCAACTTTTTTTAAATTTACTATTAGTATTATAGTTCATGCATTTGCCTACAAAAACAAAACAAAACAAAACAAAAAAACCCCATCCATGGACAGTACAAGACTGCGATAGAATCTGACAATCAAAGAAAATATGGTTCCCTAACCCTCAAATGAATAATTAAATTGAAATTATTAAAAATAACTATTTATCATTTTATTAATACGTGTTTCACAAAACCTCCAAAAGAGATTTCAGTCTTTACTACAATTGTCAGTCTACACGATCCATTGTGGAATACTAATCTCGATGAATTTTTCATAGTATTTAGATATAAGTTTGTGTGGTAACTGAATATCATACAGTTTCGAAGTACTGTATTATGAGCTCGATGTGTTTCCAACAATCCTCCGAAAAAAGATTTCAGTCTGTCTTTACCGTACGTAGGAATTCCCCATGTAAGTTTGTAGATAAGGAATACTCTACATAGGTCTATCTCTCTATACTATGTTGATTTTATAGTAAAGAGGGGTAGGCCCATGTAGACTTATCATTTCGTCATCTACAAACTTACATGGGGAGCGCCTATGGTCTCTACTGCAATTGACAGTATACACGATCCATTGCAGAAAACCAATCACGATGTATTTTCATAGTGCAGTGTATATAAATATTAGTTTGATGGGTAACTAAATATCATACAATTTCAAGTACAGTATCATGAGCTCATAAACATGTATAAATGCTAATTATCAAAATCATGCCTCTCAAAATTCAAAAATCATAGATTAAAACTGCCAGGGGTATTTTTTTTTTTTTTTTTTTTTTTTGCAAAGTAGGTCCAAGGTCAAGTGGATTGTAATGCGGGTATTTTTCATAATGTCTTATGACAAACAGAGCACATGCTAAAAAGGAGAGACTTAACTCTTAAATGTCAAAAATATACTAAGCTCAAAAAGCACTATTACTTAATATTATTTTTGCATTATGAAATATTTTAAAATATAAGTCAAAGGTCACGAGATCGGTAACCATGGTAATTTACAAAAGCCAAAGTGCCAGTTAAATATGTGCAAAATATCGAATCCATACTTCTTACAGTTCTCGAGATATAGGATGTGACAGGTAGACGGGCAGACAGACGCTGGGTAAAGTGTTCCCCAAGTGCCGCTCTGCTCTGCTGGCGACAAGAAACTATTTGTACCCTCAAGTATCTTGTTGTCATTAATTTTTTCAATCAATTATATATTTTAGTTATTCCCTACAATTGTTCATTACATTTTAATCCTCTTGTTTTCCATTAACAGAATAAAATCGTTTATCACACACACTAACATCATAACATTTAACTTGAAATTTTGACCATGTATCTTTAAATTCGTAGTACTGTATTTGACTCATTGCCAATTTACTCATCTTTTTATTTAAAATTATAGTTCAACCGCAGACAATGAGGATATTTTGAAGGAGGAGAACCAGCGACTGAGCAAGCCTCGGGTGTTCCTCCTGAACCTTTCATGGTTTGGTCTCAGTCTTATGTTCCTGCTGCTGTCGGTAGAGGGTAAGCAATTTAATCCTGTAATATATGTTTAGCCGTAAAAGTCAAATAAATTTAAGATTTTTCTTCAATACTTGAAATTTTCTAAGAAAATTTAAAAAAAATCCAGTAAGGATAGTATCTCCAGAAAGACAGGGATTGTACTTTGAAGAATCATTCCATTTCTATAATTCAAATGCATGAATTTGTGAAAATATACTCACGTCGCCGTGAATATCTTTAGTTGTACCAGCCCAGATCCGCTCCTTAGTTGGAGAAGCAGAGAAAGGAAGATGGCTGGGCGGGATGGTGGCAGTTGGAGCTGGTAAATAAGCTTTACTCAAACTCAAGTATCAGAAGTAATTAAATGAATATCCAATAACTAAGTGACAATTGAAGTGAAGTAGAAAAATATCTTTATGCTTTGATTCATTCTATTAATGTAGGGAATTAAAAGGAAAAAAAACCTGTAAACCCCTAAGAACAAATTGGCCAAAGAGTTAGGAGAAACCTTGTGTATTGTTCATTAACCGAAAATGAATAGTTAACACGGTGTGGAGTTATTTTGTTTTAAATCAATGACATATCAATACATCAAAATGCAGAAAAATTGCATACATGGCAAGGTTGAGATAAAAGAGAATAGTGTATAACTGCAGCATTAATAATTGACGAATCTGCATAAATATAAACGGGGGCCGCCCTTATGAACGATAGTTGCTGACGTTTTTAATCAATATCCACATTTTATTTCAAGTCAAAGTTATATCACCGTAGTCACTCGTCCAGCTGTTACGTACTTTATAATCATAACTTTTCGTAAAGCTTTTTTTTTAATCGACAAAGGTACTAACTTCAACATGAAAACCCCTTTTATCAGTTTGACAGCTAATAAACAGGCACTATACTCTTTTATTTGCACACTTCTATGAACAAGTTTGTAAAGAAAAAATGATTGATTTTCCAACGTCATAGTCTAACATCAGTTTGTTTAATTTTATATGCATGTACCAATAAGGATTACATACTCGATTCATTTTGTTTGTAGACTTCTATTTTTTTATATGCGAAAAAAAAAAACAGCAAACATATAGCTGGTTCTGACTTACCATATAGAGGGTTTCTTTAGCTGGTCCAAAATTTGGCGTCTTGCTTGCTCAAAGGTTCCAATAAAATTGGACAAAACTTATTTAAGCGAACGAACCAGAGTTCCACGACGTAGCAAACCAGTAGCATAATTTTGTACCGCTTTACAGAAGAAGTGCTTTTGGTACCTAAAAATGTAAAGAAACACTAGAAACAATAATTTTATTTTGAATTAAGTGAAATCACGTAGTAATGGGTTTAATGCGAAATCAAATACAAGAAGGATCATTTATATACCAGAGAGTTTTCAGTAAGTTTGAAAATCGATTTCATTAACGGTTCAAGTAAATTCAAATGAAATGTATACCTAGCTACAAAATGATTAAAATTATTTCTTGCATTTAGTCCTTAGCCCAAGGATGCAAATTTAGCAATAAAATTTTAGCGGGCTTCAATATCAATGAAACCGCTAATATAAGCTAAAATTAGCTACCCAACCAAAAAAATCCCTTTCTACGATATATAATGAACACACACACGCACAAACACTTCTATACCTAAGGTTTATTTCTTCCAGCCCTGACCTTCTTTGCCAGCCCTTTAATTGGCATGGGAAGCGACCGCGTAACGTTAAAGGTCGGTAAAAGACGTCCCGTGATGATGGCTGGAACTGTCATTCTGTGGTAAGTATACCGGTATGCGTCTCCTTGATCCTGCAAAAGAAGACATCCAATATGGAACAATGATATATCTTTATACTGGCCAACAAACATAAGGTTATTATATAAGGCATAAAATTCAATGCCTTTTTATGATAGTCTTATGACACATATATATTTTTCTTTATAACATGGTGAACTGTTTGTTTCATTACAGCATAGGTTTGATTGGGATGGCTCTGAGCTCTTCCAAGTTATATCTCCCGTAAGTAAAATTTAATAGACTCCGAAACAGGTCTGATGATTGTTAAATATTTATGTTTGCTTGTAGCATTAATGGAATTTGTTACGTTTGTTTCAGACGTAGAGACACTGGTTACAAAAACGGCACTGAAGAAACGGTATAATGACATTTTCAGTTGATGTGTAGCATTTGGCATTGTTGTCAGAAGGACAGATTTATAATATTCTTTAATGAATTAATTACTTCTCAGTAACAAACACTTTAAGATCTCCTGCCTTTGTATATAGAGATACTTTTCTGTTCATTATTTGATGAATTTTTTCAGTGCCACAGTGATTTAGCAGTTCAAAGGTGCCTACCATATATTAATAAAACAATAAAGAATTCGCACGAGAGCACCATTTTGAAAGGGTCTCAGCCGGCACCCATTTTGGTTCCAGAGAAAAAAGGTGAAGTCATTGTGGAAAAGGACACCGATTCTGGAAGTCTCGGTAATTATTTACATATTGATAGCAATTGTATTCATAGATACAGCTAGGTGTTTAAATCTTAAGAACAATGAATACCAAAGTCTATGGAATTTTATCATATGTTAAGAATTCTAAAATTCTTTAGAATTTTTGAGAGAGAGAGAAATTGTATATTTTCCCCTTTTGAAGAGCTTTGATGTTCCGTAAGGGTGAATTTTAAAAAAAAAATGACTGAATACATAATTATCAACTTGTACTAAAATATCAGGCTATGTGAATAAAAATCTTTAGCTCAGCATGTGTCTTTTGACAAATATCTCATTGATACACGACACAACGTGTCTGAAGACACAAAAAGTTATGCCCAAAAATGATGCTATTAAATGTCAGGAGTGCAACACATTTTTATGACATTTTTAAAATATAATATTTTTTGAAGATCTGTTAAATAAATATATATATTAACGCTTTTTATTAGAAATAAAGATTTTCCTATAAAATTCAATATATTGAGCTTTAAATTGAGACTGTAGTAACTTCTGCTTAACCAAGTTATGGTCATGGCTGAAAAAAAAAATGTTATACCATATCAGAAGTGCAACAGTAAAAATGTAGGATGGCCCAAAACATTATTTTAAAAATCTGTATGACAAGTGAGTAAAAAAAAAAGACAAGTAAGTAAAAAAAAAAAGGATTGTCAAAGTTTAAAACTATAACTGATATACCATTTAAGGTATTAAAATACATATATGTATGTGTCGCAAGCAGCATAAATGATAGTCAAGTATGTGCATACTCATTTATGTCAGGAGTGCAACATTTGATGTTTTGCTCCCCAGCCTGGAACAAACATTTATCAGTATATTTATATTTTTACTTTATTTTGGAAAATAAAGACAGAAGGAACATTTTCACCAAATAAATCTATCATTTACAGACTGTGTTTCAGATCCATATTTCCAAGGTCAGCAGTGCAACATTTATAAAAATTCAAGTTCAATAATGAAATGACTTCTATTCATACTAATAAGTATTATTTGATCAATAAGTATCTATTAGAATAATTTAGAACTAAATTAATGACAGTTTTATGATTGAAATCTGTCCATTTTTTCAAATAAATCAATCCAGATGTGTTTTTATCTTTTCTTCTAATGTTCTAAGAAATTTAAAAACAAAACATAAGAGAAATTGTAATAAAATTCAGATAATTCCACCACAACTTTACTGAACAGTGTAATATGTTCTGATGTGATTTGTACTTCACAATTCTACCTTTAAGTCTCACATACTAGTGCAACAAAAATGCTAGAATTACCAGTAATCAAATATGTATAAATATAAACAAAAATTGATAAGTAGAATATTTTTGGTGACCTCAATTTCTATCAGTGTTGTCCCATATTGTAAAATGTCCTATATTTTTAGCTAGTTTTACGTCATTACTAGGGAATAATTTGTCATATAAAGCCAAGTTTAGACAATTTTATGCTTTTTAACCATGAAGTATTGGACTATAAATAACACACAATTTCATTACAACTTGATGTTGCCAGAACTTTATGATTTTTTTTTTGTTCTATGGCTTTAATTTTAAATCTTAATGTAGTCAGGAGTGCCAAAAAAAAAACCTGTTTTATAATTATCATTGAATTTCATGTCTCTTTACTACAAAAAAATAACACGCTTGATACTATTTGCTTGTAGTTGAAATTATTATGTCTATCAACAAATTACAAAAATTAAAAGTCAATTCGCAGAACAGTTTTCACCACCTAAAATATATTTAAAAAATATATGTTACATAAGCAATAAGCATATTTTGAAGTATAGAAAATTTAAAAATATTTCCCTAAATGGGTAAAAATATCAGCGACGAACTGCTTTACAAAATTTAAATGAGATATTGAGTGTTAAAAAAACTTAAAACAGTGTTTAATAAAAAAAAAAACATACTAGGTGTCAGGAGTGCAAAAAATAAGGTAATATAAGATCACTTTAAAATCAAGTATTTCTTATTAGAATACTAACTTTATCAAATTTCATTTTTCGGTTAGATTTGAAGAATTAACTAAATACATAAAAAAGTAATATTTGGGGGAACTTATTGCATCATATTTCTTTCCAATTAAAACTTTTCAATTGAGAATGGAGACAATTTATGTTAAATAATGATAATAAAAATAAACAAAACAATTTTTTAACATATTCAAGAAGAAAATCAATCGAAGTTTAGATCTAATCTTTTACATCACTGACACAAGTCTATACGATAAAAAAAACCCTACACTTTCTTTTGATTATGTATTTCAGAAAGTCTTTTAGAATGTAGTAATATTTTCTCTTTCCAAAAAAGTTCTTCTTATGAAAATTCTGAATCTCTCTTATGCATTTGTCAATTTTATGGTCACTTCGGAAATTTTAACTAGAATGTATATATACAATATTATGCTATAATTGAAAAATAATGTAAGTTCATTTTTTTCTCGAAAAAATTCAATATGCTGGTCATTATTTTTGAATTCACCCATAAGTGTATGAAGGTTAGAAACATTCTATATCAATCTTGTCTTGGCTGTAGAGCAGTCTACATATCCCATACACAGTTTGAAACTTCTCACGAACATTGAAGATCAAAGAGGATTAAGGAGACTATTAAATAATCGACCAGGACGCAGAAGGAAGTTGAGATGACTTCCAATCGAATGTCCCATTTCTGCTTGTCTTGATTAATTCTAGTAGGCCTTTCAACTGCCGCTAGGGTTCGATGAAAAGAACGATAACCCATTACCGGAACTTGTTTACAGCGGGTCCGAGGAAGCTAACTGTTTTTAAGCATATCAAGTTTTAGCATTTCCAAAGTGTTCCTTCACTGTCAGCGGAATCCAGGGGTTTTAAAATTTAGCTCAAATGTTAAACTTATTTACCATGTAGTTACCGACACTGCAAAATAATATATAAGTGAAATTTTTAATAAAAATAGAAAGTGAAATCCATCCCCCTTCTTAATTTTGACCTGATTAAATTTTTATACTTGATTGTTCTTCTTCGTGCCTAGTGAAAAGAATAAGATAATTTATTGTTGTATTTAATTGTAGAAATACATATCTTTATAGATGAAGCACAACAATGCACACACAAAAAACATTGCATTGTATTTTCTTCTTTATAACAACTGTCGGAGAGAGTTAAAAATCTTGAATATAGTCCATTCCCCATTCATTGATCCCGTTATTCCAGGTAAAGAGTGAAGACATTCTCCTTGTTTTGGTCAACCCTTTTGTGTACCAAAGAATATAAGGAACCCTTTTGTGAACATAACAATACCAATTGAAGCAGCCTATATGTCATTCCTATAAACGATAACTCAAAAATCGGCACTTTGTTGGTCGTTTTTTACACTTGAGTTACCTGTCCTTAAAACACAACATCTTACAAATCAAATATTTATAATTAAATTTTTTTTATGATTTAATTAAAGGTATGTATAGTTTATAATCTTCTTTTGAAAATTTCATGTACATACAAATCTATCTATCAACTGTTTTTTACCATATGTGCAACTTGAAAAATTAGTTGAGAGGCCTAATTCTAGTATTTCCTGACAGTTGTAAAAAGGGTTACCATTTACAGTAGTATTAGGTTTTCTATTGGATTCTCATCTTGTCTTAATGTTTAATCAATTTAACATCTAATGTATTGCAGATTTTAATCAAACTTTTCCCTATAGTTAAACGTATAAAGCAAAAATCATCAATGATAATGAATGTTGTTTTTTTTCCAGGTTTGTATATATTTTTCTACTTGATCGTTACTTTGTCATTTGCCATGATAACAGTTCCATACAACGCTCTGATTGCCGACAAGTCGCACCAGTCACAAAGAGGTATGAACTGATGTTTCTACACTAATGTCTGTCCATATTTAATTCCTCATTAGCTAATTGATTCTCCATTCACGGACGTTTTACTGATTTTAGGTTTTAATTCTGGAGTAATGGGATGTATGATCCTAATGGGCAATGTGAGCGGAGCAGCTGTAGGAATAGGGTTGTCGGTATATGAGATTTTTATGACTATATGTATATGAATAGTTTACAAGTTTAAGAAATCAACAAAAGGTCATAGATATCCTGAATTGGTAAATAAAATAACAGTACAATTTTAAGTATTTTTAACAACTCCAGGAAATGGGTGTTCTTGGAGCGTATGGAACAGCCATCGCGGTGGTCATGGTTAGTGTATGTGTAACAGTCTTTACAACCACAGAAAAACCGGGGAAACAAATAAACGAACCTATAGGTAAAAAAAAAATCAGTTCTTTGAAATGTAGAGAAAATATAATGCAGAAACAGAATTACACCAATTCAAAATGTAAATAATTCAAAACATGATAACTTTTTCAGGATGTCTGCAAATTTTCTGTGGATTTTGGGAACCATTAAAAGGTGTGATTTCATTTACTCACAAATATTGACTTTCTGCCATTTTGAAGATTTAATTAAGTTAATGAATTATGAAGTACAAAATATCTTAATCTTACACAGTAATTACATCAAACATAGTATATTTTGATTGCTTACGAATGAAAACCAGTAACTTTAAAATACATTATTCGTTGCAATTTCTATTCATTACAAAAATATACATGTATTATAATATATAACAATGAGATATAGACTGCAAGAAAGATGCCTTTATTCTACAGAGCACGATTTCCGATGGGTGTTCATTACAAGATTCTTAATGCAGCAAGGTGTTTCCACGGTGACAGGGTGTGTACTTTTCATCTCGTTTCATACATAAATCAATACTTTTTACACGTGTGGTTTATAGGCAGCCAATATTAGATCATAATCTATATCAAATAATTTAAATTTTCAAAAAAGTTTATTTGCACAAATCGTTCTAAGAATAAGATATCACATCGTTTGATAGATATGCATGTACTCTAATAACTGTCAACAGTTTGCAAGTTCTTTTTTTTAAAGATTTTTGGAGTACTGGTTGTCCGATATGATACAGCTTCCCGATTGTTGGAATGCGGGGAGGGGGGTAGCCATAATGCTTTTACCAATGTTATTTGCAGCAGCTATAAGGTTTCATATTCTATATAATAAGAAATTGCACTTTAGAATAATTGATAATTGTGTAAGATTTCGTTTTTAACTTTTTATATAAGTTATATAATCACCGTTAACTTTATAAATGAATCGATCCTCCCATGAATATTCATATGCTGTTTAAACATTTCTTTGTAGTTCCATAATATTTGGTGTAGTTTCTGATCGTTTACAAAGAAGAAAACCCATTGTAATTGCAGCTGGTAGGTAACGTGAAAAGAAAACATTATAACTGAACAAGTGATTCATTACTGAATTTCCTTTCACTTGAAAAACTAATAGATGACTTTCTAAAACACCAACACTGTCGTTTCAGCTTTGATAATGTGCATAAGTATATCAACATTAACGTACATAAGTGGATCCTCGGCGTACTACATAGCAGTTGTTATGGCCTTCTTCTTTGGTTAGTGTTTTAAGTTTACTAAATTTCGTAAATTTCAAATTCAAAATATCTAAATGATATATTGTAATTAGAATCCCTTTATTTAAATGTATTGCTATCAATACTTAATACTTATATGATTTTACTTATTTTCTTGAATTTGTTATAACAATGCAGGGATCGGATTTGGTTCATTCCAGTCAGTAGATTTTGCCCTTGTCATGGACGTCCTTCCAGAGGAAAAGGACAAAGCTAAAGACATTGCAGTTTGGCACCTTGCCCTGATACTGCCAAATGCGCTTGCCACACCTGTAGGAGGACTGATTCTGGACTACTTTGAGAGTGTTAACTGTAAGATAGGGCTAGGATACATCATACTTTTTGTTGTCACTACTGTTTACTTTCTACTTAGTGGTATTTTCGTCACACGAATTCAGCAAGCCAAATGATTCCCATATAAGCAGACAGTCTGTCTATCTGAAGTGATGGAAGATAAATTCTCTCTTTTCAGAAATAAATGTTTTCAGTCTTTAAAAGACAGTTTGCAAACAAATATTTATATAAAAAGGAGATTTGACAAGAACTTCGCAATATATTTTTCAAAAGATTATTGTCACAAAGAAACTGTCATTGTTGATACATTGTAAATGTCCCCAGATGTATTTTATATCCCATTGTTTCGTTATTATATTGTTATTTATATTTTTGCTGAGACGTTAAATTATTGTTTAACATTACACTTAATACCTCAGTGATAGTTGTTTCGTCCCTATATGAAATAAAAATGTTTTATCCCCTTATTTTTATGTGATTTTTTTTCGCATTTATAACTTTTATTCTTACACCCAAATAATATACACAAATGCTGTCTTTTAAACTACGAGGGGTGATAAAAAATTCGCGAACTAATTGCATTACTTCCATAAAAGAAATAAAATTAGGTTTCAGTATGTATTACTTTTTAAAGAAGTCCCCTCCGGTTTCAATGCACATCTGTCACCGTTCTGCCCATGCGCGAAACACGTAGTCCAGGCGGTCACGTGACATGCTCTCCAGCGTTCTGTTCACTGCAGCAAAGAGTTTTCCGAGTTTCAAAATTATTACCATGCAGATTATTTTGTATAACAAGAAGAGTATTTGTCATAAATGGCCAAATCTCGGCTATAGGATGGGTGGATAAGGATATCATTCACCACAATGAGCATGGTGACCATCACAACCCTACTCCTCTGTCTTATACATTTATTCTTTTTTTTTATGTGGATCAAGTATAGGCGCGTTCTCTTTATCATATCTGATATGTTTAAAATTTAAAATAACTGATATTCACAGAGATTTGACAATTATTTTATTGTTAAGATACTACCTTTGAACTACTTTTCAAACTGTAAGTTGGCGATCTTTCATAACAGATTGCTCAACTACGGATACATCTCTTTCACAGCATATTTCAATGGGCACCAAAACAAACATCATTTTTAACCATCTCCCTTCCTTCACTAAAACAATCAGTCCAATTCATGATTGAACTTCTTGCAAGTCCTTTGTCTTCATAAACATTGTACACATTCTTATATGCCACTGCAAAGGAATTTCTAAGATATACATTAAACTTTACAGTCGTTTCCAGCTGGAGAAAAACTGAGTCACTCTTTTTTTGTCACAAGTCATCTACCTATTGACGTCATTTTCACATTGTGACGTCATAGACATGGACCAAAAATTACTTAACAGCTGCTATTTATAGAACATGTTTATTACTATTTTGTGCCAAATTGCAAAATTTGATCTGAATTGTGGTTTTGTAAATATTGAGATAGTTCTCGAATTTTTTGATCACCCCTCGTATAATCATTGTATAAAATCCTCGACCTGAATGTTGAATTCTGTTTTATTTGTGGAGAAAAAAAACTATCGACTAGAATATTATATTTAAACTATGTAATCGAACACAATTCACGTAAGAAATATCACCGGGTGTTACAGCTCTCTCCCAAAGTTTAATTCATATTGTTACCAAGCCAGCTGACGTAGTTTACTACTCTGGTGTATACTCCAGGCTTAAACGCTTCAGCACAACCAAAACCCCAACTAGTGATTCCTTTTTTAGCAAAATACATAGAAATATGTTACAGTTCAAATAAAAGTCTTAGCTAATTTGTCAATAAATATATAAATTAATAAATGTAAATCAAAGCATGTTTATTTTAAACCTTAGTTAATCGTAATCTACGTATCCAAATTATAAGGATAGAAAACTCAAATGAGGAATAATTAGGTTAATTAAAATGAAAGCTGACAAAAAAAATATTTCGTCTTTAAAGAAAATGAATGTCATGAAATACCTGTGAGTTGCCATACTCCTTGGGAACTACATACCAATGGTCCACCACTGTCTCCCTAAAAAATAAAAAAAATCTTTTATAGAGTAACACGGATAAAAATGAATTAAAAAAAACTTAAAAAATGAATGAATAAACAAGTAGTGCATATAAGAGTGAATTGTGCATATTCTATCATATTCTGCAGGCTCATGAAAAGATGTGATCTTAGTTGGTAAAGCCATTGTGCATGTAGAGTGTAGGTGCTTAATAAAGTATATGCTGTTATTTAAAATTTGCTACCTGACAAGAGTCTTTTCCTCCTTGTTCGTATCCAGCACAAATCATGGTTGTAGTGTCCATATTCCTACCATAATAGGCACGACTGGCACATGTTGACTGACTAATAATTGGTACAGTCACCTGTCTAAGAACTGTACTAGATCCAGTACCTAGAAGTCATCACATTCCATTTCAAATCAAGCCACATCAATATAACATTACATATTAAAATAAACCAATTAAAATCAACCCACATCATTATATCCTTACATATTAAAATAAGGTTCATTTTGAATGGATGTAAGAAAATTCATTGCTGTGAGTTTGATATTAAAATTTCATTTAAATACTTCGTACAGACCTTGAGTATCTCCCCAGCCTGTTGTTATACAGTTTGTTCCAGCAGCCACATCAAGTTCACTCACACAGACAGGACTGACGTAATCATTGATCTGTGCTGCTGAACTCAGTTCCATCAATGCGATATCGTTGCTGATTTTGGAGCTACTGTAACTGCGATGACTTATGATGGCTCTGACGTTCAGATTCTGTTCTGTAGACTCTGTTCTAGATCTGTCATGTTTTCCTAGTCGAACTCGCCATCTGGAAGCTGTCCCCATAGCACTACAAGAATAAAGTAAGTACTGGATCTGTTTAACTTAAACTTGTTAAATTACAACAAACTCACATGTGTAGCCCAAGCGTTGGCTGTAAGTGAATAAATTTCAAAGAATTTCTAAGGATACAATTAATATTTTATGTAGAATGTGTTACCCCTCTACACAATGGGCTGCTGTGATAACATATCTATCAGATACTAAGCTTCCCCCACAAACGTGCATTCCATTATACTCTAAGGATGCCTAAATTAAAAGAAACCTTATTTTATATAGAAAACGAGTCAATCAAGGCGAACTTATATTTTAGACAAATTACTTTCGAATTAAATTCTATAATTTTTTATCATGTACATAGACTGAATTTGTCTGAGCATTCTTTTAATACCATCCAAGGCCAGCTGTTAGCGCGAGCTTCGGTTCCACCAACAATGTATGAGACAGCAGGACTGACGCGAGTGCTCCCACATCCTGCCTGGTTAATGGATTGTAAAGCCACCGTCAGATCTGTCTGGCTAACCTGGTTATGTGAATGGTGCCCATGCCACCCCTGCCCTCCATGGTTGGGCTTTCTGTGTGGCTTAGCTACAAAACAGAACATAATACATTCGTAACACTAAACCTCACTTATCTAACTTATACAATATATTTCGATGAGTACTTGCTTTTAAAATAAACCGTTTTATATCAGCCAACACTACTATTAAACTTTCGCAAACAATGCAAACCTATTTCAGTATCACTCATTCAACGTGTGATCTTTTGGAGAAATTACTGTCGCAGCAAAATTCAGACAAAAAGTGGTTATATTATCCTCGATTTAATCAATTTTTACCCATTTTCAACTTTATTCTCAACTAATAAAACCAATAGTTCAGATGACAACTGGTTTAAAAATGAAAGAATACATTGAAGACTTTTAAGACAAGTTATTCTTTCATTTCCGACAATTAGCTTTAAAAGTTAAAACAAAAAATCTACTTCATGCTAGATTTAAACTTTAAGGCATTTTATAAAAACTTATTTAGCACTTTTTATATGTTTTCATTTTCAGAAAATGCCCTTTAAACAGTTTCTGACTGTCGTAATTTTATGCCTTACCAATGACTAAGCAGACGATAGTGAGAACAACTGCTACCTTCAACATGTTGAGGATGACTGATTCCCAGACATGGTCACAGCAAGTTTTGTCGGATTAAATATCGCCGAAGTCGCTCCAGATTCGTGGCACGATTATTCAATTCAAGGAGAATACGGACTTAATATGACATAATTCAAAGGATCTTAAATGCACCTATGTGTACTTATGCATCAGAAACTAATTCAGGAATACAAATCTAACATTTTACTGTTTGCTTTTAATTACCTTTCTTTTCAAGATCTTTGTCTTGATTTTCTTTGTCTTTTTTAAAAATCTTATCTGTATTCGATAATAGGAATCTTCATGATATAATTTTAGACAAGGTAGAATAACAGTTATTTTAGATCATTTTACACATGATAAATAATGTTATACGTGTATTTTTGATAATATATAAGCTCGAATATGTTTATTTTGTGTTATTTGGATTATCTTCATGATCTACTGATACATCACTGATTTATGATTAAATTTCGTGTTATTGTGTTATTAAGTGGTCAATATTTACCAGATTGATTTTAGCAATAGACCGATAAAAAGACGGAAATAGTACTGACAAATAAGCATTTGCTTAACCATTTGGAATGCTCTTTTTGTCCCAAGCCTAGAATTAGAACAATATCAGAATTCGGTACACCATTTGCAATCAATCTATATTCAATGAGATTTAGATTAGACTTTTGAAATCCTATAACATTTTTATATCTAAATTATAAAGGTTGTCGTCTAATGAGCATTCTTCATATCTACCTTGAATACTTTCAAAGGGAATCTTTCAATTCTTCTCTTTTGATTGTTCTTCAAAGATTTCGATCTGTTTAACACACATAAAACTATTTCCAAACACTGTAAAATTATTATCCGCACTTTTTTGAAATCTCAAAATGTTCAGAGCCATCGAATGCGTTGAATTATTTATACTTTTTATCTGATTAGTAAGAATGAAACATCAAAGAGGTATTAGTTAAGTTAATTCTTGCTATGTTGTTATACACGAGCTCGAAGTAACGTTGAGTTTCTGAAGGAAAACGTTCTTGTTTGGTCTTTATTTGTGAATAGTGATCTAGTGATTCTGTTTGGCTGGTTCATCATGATCTTACAGAGGTCAATATCCTCAAATCAATTCCTTGGTTTACAGTTTTGAATAACTTGATACAACATCATAGTTATTTCATCTTTTGTGTTCAAGTAATCCGTGTTTTGTCTTGTTAATTTTTTTTTACCGATTTTAGGATTTATATCAAATTGTTCACTGCCGTTTTTCATTTTAGCCACCTTGCACATGCATTTTGCTTGTGGACAGGCTGTTTACAACACATTCAAACAAAAATTTACTTTGTTCCTTGGAAACCTCTCTCCCTTGAGACAAATGCTTCTAAAAAAATGGAAGTCAGAATTTTTCGCATCTTGTGATATGTCATCTAAAAATGACTTTGTTTAAAATCATTCTGATTCTACACACAGTACCCAGAAACTGATATTGAATAGCTGACAATATTTATGTAGTCCTTGGAGAATATCTTCCAAAATTCTGTTGAATTCCGATGAGTAAAAATTGTGCTCCTTTATTAGAAGACGTTTTTGTTTTCTTATCAAGAAGATTTTATTTAAAAAAGCCTTCTATATATGAGAAGACGAAAACACTTTATGTAACCTTCAGTTCAAAATTTAGATATATCAACGACGTTTTCTCAATTCACATATTACACTCATATATGGCGATTCGATGAATCGAGGTCGAAATAAACATACTACTAAGTCTGACATCACTTTCGTATTTTAATGTTTTACTGACTATTTACATTAACTGCAAACTAACAAAACTATTGACAAAGGGGCTGATTTCAGCTTTTCCATCGTCAACTTTCCCTATTTATGTCCTAATATTCTACTTGAATCTCCATATGGTGTTTATGTCCATTCTACCGTTTTAGAGAATATGTTCTGAGAAGATGTTTAAGTCAAGTCTGGCTACTAACAAATAAGTTGATTTTTTAAGGCTCTCAATGGACTCCTTTAAAGTTAGACTTTGCAAATTATGTGGATGATATTTTGACCTAGTTTAGGAAATGCAACCTATCCTTAGTTCGAATGGTGACTGACAAGTTAGGCCATGGTTCTTATGCATATACTGATATTGATGACGAATTACTCTGTTTACTTTTTCAATACAGAAGATGGGACTTATCGAAAAGGATTGCTTGCTTCTTCTAGGTCTTGGTCTTTCCAAGGGTTTGTATTTTTGTTCTGTCCATCTCTTGTATCGTTTATAGGATTTATGAAAATGATAACTTTTTTATTTTGACGTTTATCATTTGTCATTTTACCTTAATTTTTTAATCTTGCTTTTCACTAGTAAGTAATATCTCAGAAATGAAATTGCCAGTGACAGTTTCCTTCTTATCCCTTCATGAAAAAGAACATTCTCTTCCTTTGCACAATCTGCAATGTTTATTTCTAATTTATTTTCTCATTCAATCGTGCTATGTGACATATATTGTTGAAATGTTTCAGAGATTCTGGAGAAAAAAAATCACCAAGTTAAAAAAGTTGTATTTCAAAAAAGTGTATTTCAGAATTTTTTTTTATGCCAAAGCTATGAAAAACAACAGTTACGGAAGAAATTTATAGTATCCTTGGTTGTTGGTCCTGGAAATCATACTTCCATTATCTGTATTCATCATACAAACGTATTCAAAGCTAGGTTAGTTCTTTTTCTTTAGCTGAACGAAATTGTTTAACAGTCAAATAGATAAAATATAAAATTGATCACCATCAATACCCTTGATATCAATGACAAGAATAATGATCTTTTTACAAAAATAATCTTTTTAATCGTCAACAATTACGTGAAATTTTAACAAAGAGTGGAAGTAGCACAATAGCTTACAATACTTTCAATATGAAAAACATAAATCAGGTTTTATTACTTAAAATTCTCACTCTATCAAACTCCTAACTTCGAATCAATTGAAAATAAGAATAGATTTTATTAATGTACACCGTGTTATTTTGCTTTGAAAAAAAACACAGAAAATGGTGAATGTGAATTTCAAAGGGGAACAATCCAAGAGAAGCGGATTCGGACATTATGTTTGAATTAGCAGTAAAGAGTGGAAAGATTTGATACTAAGTTCCAAAATACGAAAAATACGTCTTGTACATCTCTGCCTTCTGTTTGATCCAGGTCAGATACATGGTGACGTCTGTGTATATCCCAGGAGAACGCGGATGTCCACAGCCATAACCCCAACTTGTGATACCTAGAATTTAAAACAAAAGAAAAGTAATATCTAAACCTACAGCATTAGTTTGCAACTAGAGATGATATAAATATATTTTATTATCACGATGGTAAAGTTGATACAACCTTTTTCCCTTTTTACATTATTAATACCAATTAGTAAGTTTACAATGCCAGAAAGTCTTACCAACTTGTACCCAGTATCCACTATGATCCTGTATAATGAACGGACCCCCACTGTCGCCCTGGAAGATATATCATTGGATAGTTGTATTATATTGAACTACTACTACATGCATGATGAAATAATGTCTTCTTTTTTTTTTACAGGTTTTCGAGTCATGCACTAAAATGAACTACTAGTTTTCAATGCAGCGAATCCCTTGGTGTACATAAATGCTTTTCTTCAGTGATTTGATTTGAAAGTAGATATGGACTTACGTATAAGCATGTACAATTTTTTTTAACTTTCCAAATAAAAATTGTTGGAGGACACCAAGATATCATTTAAATGTACACTTATAAAACTTAACAGAAAGCAAGGTCATGTCAGGTTGAGAATTAATGCAAGATGATCACTCTCTTAGAGGAACATGTCAAATTAAATAATTATCTATACATAAGATATACAATTAATTGGAAGATTAAAGGTGATAAATATTCACTTCATTTGATTATTTAGAAAAATGAACAAAGGTGTAAACATTATTTATTAACTAGTGTGCAGGAAACATGCATCATATAACAAACAAATGTTAAAGAGACACAGTGAGTCAAATCATATACTTCTTTGATCATATTTTTATATGTATGTATTAATGAAGATTTATCAAAAATATGATTATAAAAGTTTTGTTAACTCAACATAACAGAAGAGCAAACAAAGATTGTTATGAATAAGTGCCTGAAAAACAATGGTTGTTTTTCCTTAACATTTCCTTTACATCATTGTTATTGTCCAGGTCAGCGTCAAGTGACTTTTATTTTTATCGTTACACTTTGTAAAGCTCGTAAACAATATTGAATCTAAGGATGCATATGTAAACAATATGTTCTGATTAACTTTAATGTTTAAAACTTGTCAAAATCCTCGGTCTACCGACATTCCACTATCATGATAATTTGTTCATGTTTTCAATAAGGAAGAAAAGCGAAGAAATATTTTGTGCTGGACCAGAATATAAAAGTGGATTGATTTTTTTTTTTTTTAGATTTTAAAACCTTCAATTATTTGAAACTCAATTCTTTCAGGCAAATGATAGAATTTGCACGAGCCATGCATAAATTCTTATATTCTTTTTAATTGTCTTGTTATTGCGCCATTGTGTCTCTTTACCTATTGGATTAACAATAAAGTTTACAAACTTACAATACATGCATCTCTGCCTCCTTGTTCAAACCCAGCACAAAATGTAGTCTGGGGTAGGAAGGCACTCCCATACCAAGTGTGGGCACCGCAAACACGATCGTTCAGAATGGGTATGGAAACTTGGTTTAGAACATACTTTGGATTGGATTCTGCATTTTCATGAGTACATTCTATATTAAATGGGTTTTTTTTTTTGAAGAACTGTATATAAAGAATATCTGAATTCATTTTAACTGATTGTATAACAATTGATTGTTTAAACAATTACAAGCAAATTAACGAGATTGTATATTTAAATTTATTATACCTCTGTGAATTTTTTCTATATAAAAATATGACGAATAAATCTGCTATTTTTTTAAACCGTGGAATAGTTTTTGTGCTATTAGCTCATGGTGAAATAGTCATCAAACTTTTCACCGGCAGCATTCCGTTTCCCTCTCTTTTCATTTCGGAGCTCTTCTGGTTTTATCCAGATTGTGACGTAACACAAGTAAAGTCGGCTTTGGTATAATAAAACACCTATTTACTGACTATTCGGACAATAGCAAGTTTATCGTCCCCCTCGACAGCAACTATTTCCCTCGGCTGTGCCTCGGGAAATAGTTGCTGTCTTGGGGAACGATAAACTTGCTATTGTCCTCATAGCCAGTAAATAGGTGTATACTATCAGGTGGTGACATTAAAACAAATCTAATTAGATGTACATGTACTACACATTTCATCATTTTCCTTGCCTGACACAGTTTACTGACAGTTTTCAAAAGAGGAAAGACAAACTACATTTCAATTGTGCACATATAGCTGACTGCTTGAAATATGGTACATAAACAGGAAAAATTATTTAAATTAATGCTAATTTTTTGGGGGAAATAGTCAACTTCTCATATAGCGGTGCATCTTTGTATACATATTTTGTGCTAAAGACATGATCAAGAATTTCATATATTTAAATATATAGGCATTTTGTACGCTTTTACTCTGGCTGATGATGGCAAGTACTGAGTCTCATGTTTACAAACTTAAGTAAGAGATGCTCATATCAATTACCGCCTGTGTCTCCCCAGCCTGCAACAATGCCAACAATGCCAGGATGTGAATGAGAGTGATGAGAGATGAAGCTACTCAAGGGAGCACCGGGCAGACATACTGGCATGACGTAACTATTGAACATCACGTGATTGTCTAACACGAGTATGGCAATGTCGTTCCTTACTGTCTGATTGTCATACCCTTCATGCATAATGATGCGATTTATAGTGTGAGTCTGCTGAGTTAAGTCTGTGTAGAAAAGGTGGTGCTTTCCAACAATAGCACGCCATCGCCTAGGATCCAAACTCCCTTGGCTAAGGAAGGAACCAATAAAAAAAATATGAGAGAAGTTTAGCTAGAATGAAGCTATTTCTCTTAGAAGTGAATTGCATTTTTTTTCTCTATCCCAATGGACCATGGGTGAGGAAGTTTACAGATAGTTTCTCTATATGGATATTCATTAGCAGATTGTTAAATCTTCGAAAATTGCTAAGCGTTTAAGAAAACACAGCTGCATTCCCTAAAAAAAATATAACTACTAATTTCCTTCAAAAATTTAAGGGTAAAAGTGTTTATAATATCATACTCTTCGAAGCAATGGGCTGCCGTCAGAACAAGTTTGTCTGAAATGATCGATCCACCACAAACTTGAGCTCCATTCTCTGTCAGCATTACCTTAGAAAATATATAGGATGTCTCCAAGTTGAATATCGAGATGTTTTTTTTTTCAAATTTCAGTGATCATCATTTCGTCGAAAGGGGGTAATTCTGTTTAATGCCTTATCAAAATGTCTAGATTTATTGAAATTACGGTTTAAATAATCTTGTGCAAAAATATTTTCAGATCAATATATGTGTATGACCAAATATGGTTCTTTGCTGTATGATTATGTTCTTACATCTTGCGTTGATCTCGACGCAAAATGTAATTATCAGTGTATTAAATTTTGCTTAGATTGAGCTATACTCTTCATTCACAGTGTATTTGTCCTTGTCTTTTGGAAAATTCCGAAAATCAAAAAATATTTTTGCAATCTATCGAGTTTATTATGCAACAATTATTTCAAGTTACTGACCATCCATGGTAATGTTCCCATTAGAGCCTCCTCTCCCCCGATCACGCGGTTGATATGATTATTATGGTGTTGTTTTGGGGGTCTGTAAGGGCGTCCACAAGAGACACTGTACGTTGGACCCACTGTAAAGTATTGGGCCATCTTTAAAGAAAAATTTTGGTTGCCCTATCCTGACCGACTGGTTAAAAATCGCCCGACTCAAAACCTTTCTTGATCTCCAGGAAGCAATTATTTTTTTATGCATTATGGAAAATAGATTTTGAAAGTTCAGCATTGAAATTGAAGTTTCTGAGGGAAAAAATATATACCTACCTACCAACATAATATTTTTCATCCCAAGTCGGAGAGAGCAAACAAACACTATTTTAAAGTTGCCCCTTATCCTTGATTAACATTTTTCAAGTTTTGTGGATAATCATGCCAGTGAAATGCACAACATCAATAAATATGTAATTCATATTTAAATCATATCCCTCTTTTATGAAAGGGAGCCAGGACAAGGCGAGGACAGTTTAAGATGTAAATATACAACTTAATTTTTTTTTAAAGCAATATGAGCTGCATTTTTGAGAATTTTATTTTGCTGTTAAAATCTGTTATTATGATAAATTTGTATATATAGTTTAAACCTTTTTGATCAATTAGACAGAAATAAAGTATCAAATTGTTTCAGAATAAAGGATTCTGTACAATCAAATATATAGTGTTATATAAGAAAACAATATTGTACAGGATGACAATAATGTAATTTTGCTTCAATCAAAGCTTATAAATAGTTCTTCCATCGTATGAACAACATGAGTTTATAAACGTTCTTTTTTCTGTCATTGAAATAGTTAATTACAATTTTGCAACAAAATTTCTGACATCAAAGTTGCAGCCCATATTACTTTAAATGATGGTCCCAGGTTGATTATGCACTCATAAAAACAAAACAAAGGATACAAATTCTTCCATGCATCATACGTAAAAAAAAAAATAATGAAAAGAACAGTCCTATATTTAAAAAACACTTACCATAAACTTATAAAATCAAAAAGTAAATAATCAATTCACTGTCTTCTTCACATGCTTAAATATTACAAACTGGATCGAAATGAATGACTGATAATAATAATAATAATAATGAATCCCAAATACTGATTTCTGATGATCATCATTTTGATAAATATAGGTGTCAACTTTTGGAAAACCCTAAAACATCAAACAAAATCCATTCATATATGTTAATACTTTTGTTATGCAATGGAAAAGGAGGAGGGGTGGGGGTGGGGGTTGGTGCAATGCCTTTAAAGTTTGAAATAAAAAAAAATCATTCAATTAAGTAAAATATATACATTTTTCAGGAAAAATGGCTTGTTTCTGGATCTTACCGTGATGAAGAGCCAAAAAACAACATAACAACCAGCGCATGGGGAAAATCATAGTCTTTCGTGATTTCCGGTTCCCATTCCTTACGACAGGATCACGAAAACAAAGATAAGAACTAGATGGCCTTTTATTAGAACTCTATATATACATGTAGGAATTTGCGTTGTAAATATTATATAGAACAAATCTAGTGATATTATTACATATTCAGTTAAAACAACGATTATTTTGAATAATAAAATAATGAATCTGGAGTATTAATTTGATGATTTTGTATAATTAACTGGATAATGAAACATTTCAGAGAGAATAAAAACGACACTAAATTGACATTGACTAGAGCATACTATTTTCGGACGGAATTTAACTTTGTCAAATAATAACCACCAAACGTAGAGATCAGTGCGCATGTATATTTCCTATTAATATGTCGTTATAATTTTTAAATTCAAATTTTCACTTTTATTGTGGAGGGTATTATAAGTATAACCCCCTCCTCCTTCTACTCATCGACAAAAATAAGAATTCAAGTTTTTGTTTTTAATAATAAAGATATCGATTGCACAACAGATGCGTGTTTTAGTGGGTACATGTAAATAAGTCTTTACTTTACAATGAAATGAACATTGTTCAAATAAGGCCAGAATCCCTCCTATTCACCCGGATGCACATCAGAGATACCGACTGACATAAAATCCCCTCCCAAATAAGGATTTTCCATAATGGGAGCGCTGGTTTGTTTGTAAGAGAGGCATGAATAAAAAAATTATCAAACACATATTTATCAACCTGCATTAAAAATACAGGCAATGAGAATAAATTTATATGTCTCAGCATATGTCTTTCGACATTGTATAAAAACCTGCCAAATTTCTCATTGATATCTCAATTCAGAGAAAAGTTATGCCCGAAAATAATGCTAAAAATGTCAGGAGTGCAGCACCTTTTTGTGACATTTTTAAAATTCAATATTTTTTAAAGATCTGTGAAATAAATAATACTGGTTTAAGCTGGAAATAAAGATTTTCCTGAACATATTGGAAGTATTGAGCTTTAAATGTAGACTGTACAGTGCAGGAAACTAATTTTGTTACAGCATTGATGCTGATTTGAATGCTTCCTTTGCTTGCTGATTTAATGCTTGTAATCCTTATCCTGATGCTGTTTTATAATTAGGTCAATGCTACCGGAAGTAGCATCATGCTACCGGAAGTAGATAATGAATTTCAGCATTGCCGTTTAAAGCAATAAAAGTGCCTTTTACAATTATTTGATCATAATATCTCATTACGTATCAATAATGTGAATACTTTAACCAATATTCTTTCTTTCTTTTTTAATTTTTACTGAATTAAAACTCATTGATTTTCTGATGCTGGTAGGATAATGCTGATTTTATGTAGGTCAATGCTGGTTCTATCCTTTGCTTGCTGATGCTGATCCTGGTAATGCTGTTTTTTTAAATGCTGATGCTGATGCTAGCTCGATCCTGATGCTACTAATGCTTATGCTGATGCTGGTTTATGTAACAAAATTAGTTCCCTGCACTGTAGCAACTTTTGATTGACCAAATAATGACCATGGCTGATGTTGAAAAAGAATGTTAATATACCATACCAGGAGTGCAACAGAAAAAAATGTAGTGTTTCCAAAAACATCGATTTTGAAAAAATGAAAGACAATTAAGTCAAAAAAAAATTTTCAAAGTGTAAAAGAACAATTGATATACAATTTAAAATGTGATATAAATCACAAGCAGCATTTATGAGAGTCAAGTATTTGTGCATACTCAATGATGTCAGGAGTGCAGCATTTGTATTTTCCTCCCCAGCATGAAAAAAAAAACTTTCATCATTATTTGATTCTCTGATTTTTATTTCAAAATAAAGACATGCACAAAAAACATTTTTACCAAAAGATTTATGAATTACAGGGTCTGTCTGTGTTTCAGATCTATATTTTTATGGTCAGGAGTGCTACACATTTTTTTTTAAAAGATTCAAGTTATATGATGAAAAGACTTCTATTCATGCTAAGAAATAATCTTTAAATAATAATGATCTATTTGAATAATTTAGTGCTATTTTGTTGACAGTTTTATTACCAAAATTCTTCTCTTTTTCAATTCTATCAATTCACATGTGTTTTTATCTTTACTTTGATTTTTTCATGAATGTAAAAGAATAAACACACTGAAAAATTGTTATAAAATTCAAGTAATACCACCTCCACTTTATTGAAACAACAGAACAAGTTCTAATGTAATTTTCGCTTCACAGTTCTACTTTAAAGACTCCCGTGCTCTTGGTCAGGAGTGCAACAAATATGTCACAGTTATTGCTGATCAAATATGAATATTTACATCTGCAAATGTTTTCTTTTATATAAGACTATTAAAAACAACGCGTATCTATATCCGTATATTTACATTTGCAAATGCTTTCCCTTATATAACACTATTGAAAGCAATGCGTATCTATATCCGTATAAACACGGGTTCCTCGCGTCATAAACGTTCGACGTAATTTCTCAGTGACGTCATAAAGGGTCGACGCGCAATCAATGGATTAGACACGTGCCGTTGAGTTTGAAAAATAAAACACTTCACACGTTAAAAATTATAATTAGGCAAATATAAAATATAAATAAGTGACAAATGTATATATAAGTAATAAGGTATCATTTTTAAACATCTATCGGGATATAAATACGGGTTGGTCAAGAGATCAAATTCCATAAAGCCCGAAGGGCTTTATGGTAAATTTGATCTCTTGACCAACCCGTATTTATATCCCGATAGATGTTTAAAAATGATACCTTATTTCTTAAATAAACACGGGTTCCTCGCGTCATAAACGTTCGACGTAATTTCTCAGTGACGTCACAAAGGGTTGACGCGCAATCAGAGGATCAAACACGTGCCGTTGGGTTTGAAAAATAAAACGTTTCACGCGTTAAAGATTATAATCAGGCAAATATAAAATATGAATAAGTCACAAATGTAAATATAAGTAATAAGGTATCATTTTAAAACATCTATCGGGCTATAAATACGGGTTGGTACGAGATCAAATTTACCATAAAGCCCTTCGGGCTTTAAGGAATTTGATCTCGTGACCAACCCGTATTTATATCCCGATAGATGTTTAAAAATGATACCTTATTTCTTAAATAAATATAAAGAAAACAATGATGAGTAGAATGTTTCTGGTTGACTTCAGTTGCTTGCAGTGTTTGTCCTGTGAAGGAAAATATACTTAAGAAATAAGGTATCATTTTTAAACATCTATCGGGATATAAATACGGGTTGGTCACGAGATCAAATTCCATAAAGCCCGAAGGGCTTTATGGTAAATTTGATCTCGTACCAACCCGTATTTATAGCCCGATAGATGTTTAAAAATGATACCTTATTACTTATATATACATTTGTCACTTATTTATATTTTATATTTGCCTAATTATAATTTTTAACGTGTGAAGTGTTTTATTTTTCAAACTCAACGGCACGTGTCTAATCCATTGATTGCGCGTCGACCCTTTATGACGTCACTGAGAAATTACGTCGAACGTTTATGACGCGAGGAACCCGTGTTTATACGGATATAGATACGCATTGCTTTCAATAGTGTTATATAAGGGAAAGCATTTGCAAATGTAAATATTATAAAATATATTTTATCTTCTAAAAATACATTTTAGGTAGTTTTTTTTTACATAATGGGGAATAATTCAAGCTATTGAGCCAAGTTTAAATACTTTCATGTGTT